CAACACTCAATTGCATGATCAAGAGGGGTGTCAGATGTGCTTGCAATGAGATGGAGAGCTGCCTCCTCTACCTTCGCAAGTGTGGTTGGCCTAAGCCATGGCTGTGGGTCCGTCCATTCTGCACTCTGATGCTTGCTTGAACCGTTTGCTGTGCCAAAGCGCAATTTCTTGCGGCAGGCTGTAGTGCCGCGCCGCTTTCGTCTCAGCGGTACGTGCGCGGCTGTCAAAGCCGGCGCCAAGATGCTGAAGGACCACGAAAGATTGGGTTTAGAGGTTCCCGAAGTTTGAATCTCCCACCGCCTTCATACCATCTTTCGCCCAGACTTAGGGGGGGACCGAGGCTTTGTGAAACTTTTGGAAAGGTGTCCACTTGGGGTCTTAGTTTTAAAATTTTAAGGGGGACACGATGGCCTGCGATCTGCGGCGCTCGGGTGCTAAGTGTAGCCTGAAGCCCTGGCGGCCAGCGGGGCATCTTGTGCAGTGACATCAGTTGCACGTAATGCCAAGGTTTAGAGCTTAGTTTTAGGGTTTAGGGTTTACCTTGTGAAAAAGAAGGGTTTAGGGTTTAAGGTGGGGTTAACATCACCCAACGGTTGCGGGACTGGGCGTCGGACAGAGACGCTTGGCGTGTGATGTCTTGCCGAGTGTTTGAGTGGATGTTGCATCACACGTTTGCGTATGAGTTGGCCTGGAGCAATTGGCGAGAGCCCCTGCTCCTAGAAGACCCTTGGTTGCTGAGCTTGTATATCGTGCAACGTGAGACAGTGGCAGATGGAGAATGACCGGCGATCTGTTGGAGAGACGCATTCGCATTTCTTTCACCACGTCCACTGTCATCATCTTCGCGATCTCGTGGTTGTATGTTTGAGTCCGTCCCAGTCGAGTATGTAGCGCGTGTATGGCGTGGCAGCCGGCGGAGCTTATCAAACGGCAGTTGCTTGTTTCCGGCATTCCCCACCCAGCCCAGATGGAAAAAAAGGGTTCAGGGTTAGGGTCTGTGTTTTCGCATGCCACCCGAATTGCCCCAAACTCGGAAGGATCGAGTGGCCGCCATAGCTGTGAAGGAGGTTGAAGTCCCCGTCAATGAGGCCAAGAGGGTTTGGCTTCTTTCGCTCATTAGGTTGCCGCCAGGGGCTTCGCCGATTTTTGCCCACTGCAGCCTTCAGGGTTTTGATTCAACAAGCCTGAATGTGAGGTCGTCAATATGAGGGACATCGTGGTTTGACCGCAAAGCATCCCACTTCATTTGTTGCCTGCCTATAGTTCTATAGAAAATAATGGTCTCCGTGAGTTGTAGCCGGAACAGGACTTCGAGCTCAGACATTCAGAGGTCATGAGAAGTCAGGGCGAAGGCTCCACCAACCTCGCGGGATGCCGCCCTTTGCGTTGCCCCCGCCAAACATCCTACAACCTCCAACACGGACCTCCAAACTCCGGCCCCGAAAGTTCAAAAATGGACAGGGCCAGCTTCTCGGCTTGAACGGGATCCAGGGGCTTAGGGCCAAGTTGGGGATCCTGTGAAGAGATCTGCCACCTGCTCATGTGCACAGGTCTTGTTGGTCGGAGATTATCCCGACATCACTGTTTCCTTGGAGCAACTGCCGTGCAGGTTGCGAATGTCGACGGGCTGGTCCGCATGCTTCGCTACCTGAGCGGCAAGCGCGGCATTGTCGTGGAACCGGACCCAAAGGCACCCTGCAGTCAGTTCAGGACTTGAGGCATTTCAGGGGAACGGACACGGCCTACTTCAGGAAGTGCACAGGTCGTGCAGGTACTGCAGGTGATTAGGCAGCAGACTGTGCAGGAGACAGAGCCAGGACAGCCAGTCTCTGCCCCCTGCAAAGCTTGTTTCCTTGCCCTGGCAGGCGAAAGCCGAGGTTTAACAAACAAAGGACACGCCCCTAAACCCTAAACCCTAAACCCTAAACCCTAAACCCCTAAACCCTAAAGCCTAAACGCTTTTCAAAGTGCGGGCTTCAGTCGGCATCCCTTAGGGGCTTTGGCTTCGCATCTCCCAAAGTACCGCGCAAGCGCAGAAGCCTCTCTTGTGTTTCACATCCTGGGTTGCCCAACCAGCACATTCACAGTAATAATAATGGTAATAAATAGTAATAAATAGTAAAAAAAAGTAATAATTAATAAAATAATAATAATAGCCATAAATAGTAATAAATAGAAATAAATAGCAATAAATAGGAATAATAGTAACAAGGAGTAACAATAGTACCTATAACATTGAAAATCCCAACCTCTCGGCTCCACGACTCGAAAGGTGCGCGTCATGTCGGACTCCTGGAGGGAAGCCAATGAGCTCGTCAGCGCTAACGCGCTTAAGGCTGGGCCGGTGTAGGGTTTAGGGTTTAGGGTTTGGGGTTTGGGGTTTAGGGTTTAGGGTTTGGGGTCCAGGGTTTAACCCCCCCCAAAAAAAAAAAGTGACAAACAAAAAAAGTGCACCCTTGATGACTCATGACATAATGGGGCTGTGCTCATCTTCATGAGGTAGTCGCAGCCAGCCAAAGCGAATCCTGGCTCAGGTCACCCTGGCGGGCCTCGAGCCGGAGTGTTCCCACCGAGGACGCCCTACCCCAGAAAGCACACAAGGGTTTAGGGTTTAGGGTTCCTAAACCCTCTAAACCCTTCACCCTGAAGCCTAAACCCTAAACTTTGTTTAGGGTGCCTAAAACCCTGAACCCTACACCCTAGAATCAACCCGAGCATGCCCCCGAAAGCGAAGGACGCGAAGTTTTCCAGGCTGCCCGGCACTTCAAGCCCAACTTCCGGCCGGCGGAGGTGTCTCAGATGCCTCAGTGGGGCATGGAAAGCCTAAACCCTAAACCCTTAACCCTTAAGCTTTAACCCTAAACCCTAAACCCTAAACCCCAAGCCCAGTGCTCCGACTTCGGAGCTGTCTTGGAGTACATTTCGATGTCCCAGGCTCCCCCGCCAGGACCGCCGGCGCAGCCACCCAGACCGCAGGCGCTGAAAGCCCAGGGCCACATAGGGTGGTTGATCCCTAAACCCTAGACCCTAAACCCTAATATTAAACCCCCCCCCCCTACCCCCTAATTATAACAAAAAAACCCAAGATAACTGTAATAGAACTACAATGGGGAGGTATACCCCCCCTGCCCCCCAATATTAAATAATTTTAAATACCCCGCCATTGTAGTTGCATTATAGTTATAGTCAAATTGGGGGTTTTTAATACTAGGGGGGTTGGGGTTTCATGGTAGGGGGAGGGGATTATAGGGGCTCCTGGAGTGATCCGATGCTCTCCTTGTATAAAGTTGGGCAGTTGGTTGCGTTAGTACTTCGCTTTCGCATGTGGCGAAAAGGGGGCTTGCGAGGTGGCTTCAGGCATAGGCTGCACAGTGGTGAGCACAGGATATGGGTTTCTTTTTCAGTAGTTTATGAGCAGTTTCGGTGATTTTCGGCCACTGCCCTTGCGGAAGCTTTTTGGTTTGTTTTGGAAGAATTGAAAAGAGGCGCGTCGACGGCTTGAGAGGATGCTCTGCGGGATTGCTCAGCTTCAGTTCTTGGACTTGTGTGTTCCTGTTGTTTGTCTCAGAGGTCAACTGTCTTGATGAGATTTCAGGCTGGCAGCCGGGGCTACGTTTTCAGAATGTTGCAGAGCTTAACAGTAGTGCTGGGCTTGTGGGCATGAAGAGGGCCTGAGTTGGAAAGGCTTTCTGGCACGGCGGCTGCTGGACACAACACTGGCCGCAACAGTGGCCGCAGCAGTGGCCACAGCAGTGGCACCAGTGGAGTTAGCCGCTTAGCCTTTCTTTCTGTACAGCTGGCCATTTGTTGTCGGTCTACAAAGGGCAAAGTTCATGCTGATTCCAAGGCCTCCCGGACCCGAAATGACGACGACTAGCAAGCAGAAGTTGAAAACAATCTTGAGACAAAGCTTCCCACCGGCTCAGTAGACATATGGGTGGATACTGGGAACGTCGCTCTTCTCGGAGATGCTGGCGGGATGCGCCGGAACGTGTGTAGTGCGGAATGATGACACTGTATCTGTTGTTGTTAATGGCCGGAGCGGTTGTCCTAAGGCCCTTGGGCTGATAAACATCAAAGAAGACACATCAATCCTGTAATGGATGTCGGCATATATATCTATATACATGTTTTGAAATAATATTCATACTACTCAATGTAAATATTCTTGAAATAGACACACCCACACACACCCACACACGCACATATATAGTATAAGTTATATACTATAATATATATATATATGTATATTATAGTATAAGTTCTATACTATAAAAAAATATATATATATATATATTCTCACATAAACCAAGTTTTCAAAGCCAGGCCTCAGGACGCGCAGGCGTGCTTCCCCAGACAATCGGAGCCTGAAGCCGCCGGCAACCGGCTGCTTCCGCTGCCCAGAAGCCAGCTGTCCTGCGCCGCGCGCCGAAAACGCGACCCTCAGCCTTTAGGGTTTAGGGTTTAGGGTTTAGGGTTGATTGAGGCCCTAACCTGGGTTGCCCAGCACATGCTGGGGCATGGCCATTGTTCAGCTCAGTGCTGGCATCATCCAGCCCTCGATACAATCAAGCAAGAAGTCGTAACTACTCATAGCGAGTCAGAAACCATTGTGAAGTTGATCTCTGAGGAGCCAAGTGAAATTGCGTGCAGGGGGGTTTGTTGACCTTTGTGTGGCTGTCTTGGACTTGTTTGCAACATGTTGCGACTGGTGGCTGCGCGAGGTCGTCACAAATGGCCCGTTTAGTCACATGTCATATTTCGGTGCATTGGTCTGCAACCCATGGACTCAATGAAATGCCTCCTACAAAGGTCCAACAAGCAGCCGTGTAACCATGGCGAGCAACTTGTGACGTTTTGCAGCAGCTGTCTTTTGTGGCGACTAAAGAATGCGGAGCCCCAAGCCCACAAATCGAGAAGATTGGGTATCCATGCACCAGCCTCCGCCCCAAACTCCATGATGTAGAGCTTACTTCGAGATGTAGGGAGCCGCCTGCTAGGCGGTTCGATCTCTCAACGTGCGGCTTCGGCAGCATGCGTGGGCCCCAAAAAGTCGGAGCTCGCATGATCTGCTTGAGAGTCTAGATTGAATTGTATTCTTGGGGGGGGGGGTGTTTTGGGATGTTCCCCCTTTTTACTTTCCAACTTATGCTAACAGTCCTTAATAGGGATTATGATTGGGAGTAGAAGGATCCCAGGGGCTGTTAAAAGTGTTAGGATGCTGCAGGGTGTAGTTAGTGTAGTTCTTACCCTGGCCAACCCCTTTTGAGACTCAACCTATAAGAGGCCCCCAGAAAACAATCCCCATATGGATTGTGGGCAGGAGCTGCGTTGGTTTCAAACACCACCCCCGTGGGTTTCGAAGCTTGGGCAGCACCTTTTTCAAGTCCCGGCAGTGCCCGCTTCAGCCGATTCGGGCCGTGCTGAACCCGTCTCGGCTTCCTGGCATATCAACCCGCTTCAGGACCCAATGCCTTACTCGCCGAGGCACAGCAGATGGAAAAGATTGTGGACGACTTCCACAGGTCCATAGGCAAGCTGCCGCACTCTCAGCCGGGAAGGACGTGTTGGATACGAGCCTAACATGGCGGAAGTGTGGGGCCCGGGCAGCTGTCCCGTCAGGGCCTCTTCGCCATTTAAAATTATTTAAATTATTTAGATGATTTAAATTCTGCAAATTCCCCGAATTTATATAATTTAAATAATTTTCATGTCGGGGGGCCCCTAGACATTTAAATTATCTTTAAATTATTTAAATTGACCGAACTTTGAAATGTTGGAGTGCCCCTGGACATTTGAATTATTTAAATTATTTAAATTCACCGAATTTCTAAAATTTAAATAATTTAAATGTTGGGGGGCCCCTGGACATTTGGATTATTTAACTTGTTTAAATTCACCGAAGTTACATAATTTAAATAAATTCAATAATGTACATAATTTGAATAATTTGGATAATTTAAATAAATAAATAATTTAAACAGGTTTAAATAATTTAAATGAAAAGGAGGGGGGCTGGCCGGCTTCCAGGGGAGGCCCGGGCTCGCCATTTAGTATTGGGGGGAGGCCCGGGCTCGTAATTTAGTGTTGGAGGGAGGCCCGGGCTCGTAATTCAGTGTTCGTTATTATTATTATTATTATTATTATGTTTTTAATTACTTTTGTTACTACTATTATTATTATTGTTATTATTATGATTGTTATTAGCATTATAATTATGATTATTAAGGCCCCTATTCAAAAGCTCCAGCCCAGCTTGCGGGACACCTCAGACGCGCCTGCAGCAGCAGCAGGGACCCACAGCCAAGTCGGGCCGGCAAAGTATTCAAACCCTAAACCCTAAACCCTAAACCCTAAAGTTGTTTTTTCTTCCCATGCCCTGAACGAACCGTCGCCAATTCTTGCATTATCTCCCGAGATCAAATGTCGAAGGCCGGAACCCCCAACCCCGCACTCCCCCCCCCCCCCCCCCCCCCCCAAAACAAAAAAGAAACCATGGTCGGGACATGTTTTTAGAGTGGTCCCCCCAACGCGCAGCCCTGAGCCCAGAAGCCGTCGGTTCCAGAGAATGCCTTTGACAACTTGGAAGGCTACAAAGAGCAAGTGTGAATTAGGGTTTAGGGTTTAGGGTTTAGGGTTTATCCAGAATATGTTATTTAAGCCCAAGGAAGCCTGAAGTTATTATGTTCGACCTCGGTTCTCAGGGTGCTGCAAGCAAAAGGTGCACGGAGCTCTTGGAAACTTAATGCTCCTGTTCGTGAGGGTTTTCCAACTTGGAGCCTATTGCAACCGATCGGTGGTGCGCAAACACAAGCCGATGCACAACCTTAGTCCAATAACCCAAATGCCGGTGCAGCAGATTCCCGATGTCTGGTCGCACACGTGCGAATGCCCCAAACCCTAAACCCCAAACCCTAAACCCTAAACTTGCCTGCCTTGTGCGAGAGCGAGCGACTAAACCCTAAACCCCGAAGCCCCTCAACCCACCTCAAAGCACTGGCCTTCCTTAGGCCTGGCTCAGGCAGGGGCCCAGAGAGGGCCAGCGTGGGGCTTCAAGTTTTGGGGAGCTTGGCGGGGTTCAGGAAGAGCTTTCTAAGGCCCAGGAGTTTGGGAGGGTTTGGGGCAGTTTGGGGTGGCTGTTTTTACAGCCTGAGAATGCGAAGGGAAAGCAATGAAAGCAAGGCCCGAAAGCCTCGAGTCCCCAAACCCCGACTCACCCTCCCAATCTGCAACTCAGAGAACCGACGTCGAGGCATCGACAGGAGCGAGCGTGCGGTCGGGAAGCTGGAGCCAAGCTCAGGGGCGCCTCTGGGGTTCCATTACACCTGGCTCCCTCTCTTTTTTCTTGAGCAAGAAGTTCCTTCTCAAGTCTCAGCGGGTTATTGGCAGGGATCGCGAGCATATGCTACAAAGTACGAAAGTATCTGAAAAATCGATGATGTACGAGAATATGCAAGAATTGCAGAATAGAGTAGCAGTGTTCAAACGGGACAGCAGGGTTTTGTTGTGTTTACGAAGCCCGAGTGTAAAGTGGGAGCAAATGGTCTCCAAGCTTTGGCGTGGCTTGCGGGGAGGGGGGAGGCTCAGGGTCTAACGTTTCTTCAAGCTTCGGCTGAATGCGATGTTTGTGTGTTTGTGCGTGCGTGAGTGCGTGCGTGCGTGTGTGCGCGTGCGCGTGCGCGTGCGCGTGCGCGTGCGTGTGCGTGTGCGTGCGCGTGCGCGTGCGCGTGCGCGTGCGCGTGCGCGTGCGCGTGCGCGTGCGCGTGCGCGTGCGCGTGCGCGTGCGCGTGCGCGTGCGCGTGCGCGTGCGCGTGCGCGTGCGCGTGCGTGTGTGTGTGTGTGTGTGCGCGCGCTTTTTTCTTTTGTGTGTGCATTTGCGTTGGTTTGAGACTCAAAGTTGGCTGAATCCAAGCCCTGAGCCCTGACCTCCTCCTCGCCTGAGGGACGGATCACAGGTTCATGTATCACCAGATGCTTGAGGACCAGATCCTTAGAGTACCACATTCTCGATAGCACTTACAAAGCCAGTTTGCTTGAACTGCTCAGCGGCTTGCTTCATAAACCATGGCTTTTCTGAAGGTGTTTAGGGGTTCTGACTCCCGGGTTGCCGTTTAGGGTTTAGGGTTTAGGGTTTAGGGTTTAGGGTTTAGGGTTTAGGGTGCTTGGGGATGAATTTGCCTTATAGGATCCTATCAAGCCTATACTTCTCTTCGTAGCCGCCGCGGCTCAACCGCCTCACCGCCCGGGCCTGCCGGGACGATGATGCGAATAGCGCCTTGGCCAGCAAGCTTTCGGTTGGTTTCTTAGTAGGGAATGAGTACCCTAATATGATCCCCGAATTCCCGCAGTCCCTACTAAGAACCAGGGGTGCTTTAGGCAGTGAGGTCGGAGTATCTCGGAGTTGCGGCTTTGGGCTAAGCACAGAGTTCTGCGTTCGCAAGCGCAACAATAGTCTCTGAGGAAGGCGATTGCTTTTGGACCTTAAGGGCTTGGCGAGTTCTTGCATGTTCTTGGTTGAATCTAACATCCTACATGTCTGCAGTGTTTTTATGAGTGAGAGAACACCAAGGGCGCCAGGCCTTACGTTGCTTACACCTCCGGGCGCAGCAAACCCCAAGACCCGAAGCAGATTGTGAGGTGCGGCGCATCACAGGCAAACGGCCCTACAAGGAGTGCGGGTGTTGGCGGCCTTGAGGTATACTTGGGGTATACCTGGGATTTTATTTTCTTACCGTTTAGTAGTACCTGCCCTTAATTAGTAGGTATAACCCATAAAACTGTAGGTAAAGAGGGTCCCAGGAAAAGAGGGCTCAAGCCTGCTCAAGCCATGGTACTTGTAACTGCCAAACCTCAAGTCTCAAAAAGGTTTAGGGTTTAGTCGGGTGTATATTGGGTACCATAAAAGGGGGGGGGGGATACCATGGGGTGGGGGGGAAGGCGGACTTGGGGCACTGCCGGGCTTGCAAGAAGGGCTGATATTTTTCGAAGGCAACGCCCCCGATCCTGTTGGAGGCATCACATGGTTCCCCTCGGCCCTTCCTCCGAAAGCAAAGAAGCCTGAAACCCTTCTGAATGTTCAGCCAGTAAGCTTGCTGACGTTGCAACAACCTTGCCAGTATCTTGTGCTGAGCTTCAGGAAATGCTGAAGCTTACCCTGAATTTGTTAAGATTTGAGGCTTGAGGGCTACATGCCTACTTACCTGGGTAGTCAGGCACTGGATTGTTGCTTGACGCCCGGACGCTGGGAAGACCTGAAGCCTAAAAGTTCCTTAAAAGCTCCCTGTCACAAACTGTGAGGAGGCGCCCAAAGAGGATCCTTCTCAGGCTGCTGCGGCGCCGTGTACCTTGGCATATGAGTTCTTGGATCCGAAGTTTTGGAATCAGGGCTTTCAGGAACGCATGGGAAGAAGCCTTACACCTTTAAACGCTTGGGTGCTGAGCAGGCAGATTTGGGAAGAAGCCTTACACCTTTAAACCCTTCTTTTTTGAGGCAGATTTGCCCAGCAGGCAGATTTGGGAAGAAGCCTTACACCTTCAAACCCTTCTTGTTTGGGCGACGAGCAGGCAGAGTTGGAACCTTCTTTTTTTGAACTGGCCTTTCAGCTGCCAAAGATTTCCAAGATCCTTCAAAATACGCCTGCAACATGCCTGAATCTCAAAGGCCCTGAAACAGAGCTTCACACACCAAGCTTTCTTCCACCATCTGCATCAAACACCCTGGAGCTCTGTTTCAAAGTGCCGGCGGCAAGAAAAGGTACGCCGCCAAGTGCTCCTGCGCCGAGGCGCGGTCCTCAGTTTTGATACCAGACCGCTTCGTGGATAGCCCGAGGAAACAGAAAGGGAATAGAAACAAAACAACTAGAATGTTGTGTCTTCGTCATGCTCCCAATGTGCGTCCATCATCTCCGTTGAACCATACGCGTAGCGCCTTTTCACTGACCTTTGAAATTAGTGAATGCCAACCTCAGGCTCTATAAACCTTCACCTGCGGCTGGTGGCGAGACAAACCGTCAGCCCCTCTGTAAGAAAGCAAGGGTCGGGAACTGCTGCAGGTCCAGGTCGCGGTCTCCGCTGCCTGCAAGGCACTGGTCACGGGAGCAGACAAGCCTAGACTCGAGAGTTGTTTCACCTCTAAACTCCCAAAGTCACCGAGTTGCCTACCACGACTTGACTTCAAGCACCAAAGCAGGCAACTGCGCCGAAGCTCCCAGTCGGGCCAGGCGCGCATGAGTAGCCCATAGCTTCTTGAGCCAAAAGCCCTCTATTTCTCGGGCTCAGAGTGGCACCCCTTCTGTTCTTAAAACCTTTGAGGACGACATGACTGTAGCATCCATGAGTATCGCCCTTTTTTGGGGGGCAGAAGAAGGCTGATCATCTAGAGCCTCTTCTTCAACCCTTACCCAAAGACACACTTCAACCCTGTAGCATCCTACAGCAGGCACCGCCGCAGCTTCGACGTGCCAGTGGCCTCAGCCTGGCCAGCTTGGCAGCATGTCGAGCTGAGGGCAGTTAGGGTTTAGGGTTTAGGGTTTAGGGTTTAGGGTTTAGGGTTTAGGGTTTAGGGTTTATTGTGTGACGTCTTCGTCCATATCCTTGGGAACACGCTCGGCTTTTTGGATGGATCGATTTTCTCGGCGCGTTTAGAATGCCAGCATAGTTTCGAACCAGCGCCAAGTCAAGCTGATTCACTGTTGCTCGCGATCAGGGACGGAATTGTGTTATGTGATTCCAATCAGAAACTGAACTGCATGTGTGAAGAAGTCTCCTTGCCCCACTCTGTGCGGAAGGGCACCTCGGAATCGATTGGAATGCGATTTCGTTCTGGCCCCTGCTCGACAGATGGGGGCTGTGCTGTTTGAGAGGCAGCGAGACGGCTGCAGTCTCGGTCGCCGCGATGCACACATATAAAACTCGCTTTATATTCTAGACCTGCAGCGCCGATTCCGCATCACAGAGAGAGCGAGAGCGACAACCACTTGGCCATCGTGGCCGGGTCTTCCGAAGAAGCCCCCTAACGAGCTGCAAGCCCCTGACATGTGGAGCCAGGCAGGCTGCCCCTCGGGCATTCGCCGCTCCCTGGCACACAGGCCCTGAAGGGCTCAAAGTTTGTCTCTTTCGACAGATTTGGGGTCTTGCAGGCTTTAGCTCGGTTCTTTGAATGCAGGACGCTAGGCAGTTGCTCACATGTAATGTTTGGGGTGCCCCGGGGATAAAACGAACCCCAACATCGGGATCATCAACCCTGTACAACCTTCATTCCTGAGGTTTCATGTAGTTTTCTGGGGGAGCAATATTCGATGAGGGAGCGTCTAGAGCCCATAAGGACCACATTCCGGGGTGTTACAGCAGGGGTACCCCTGCTTTGGGAAACGCCCCTGAAGGCGTTGGGACGGTTGACCCTGCCTCGCAAAGCAGTTAGATCACCACGGGGCATAGGACAGTCTTATGGAGGGCTTGCGTTCTTCGCGCTGCGCGCCAGGGCATCATTCCTACACCGTGACATGGCTGCTACAGATTTTGGTCGGCAAGGGGTCTGCTCGAACGTTCTGTTGCTGCTCGCTGCCCTGTTCTCCTAGTCGTAACTACGTTCTCCAAAACCGTTCAAAACCCGACCTCGGCACCACCAGAACATACTAGTATAAGGAGCTTGGCCTCAGCCGTTGTAAACTTTTCAGGGGGTATGTCTCCCGTAGACGCGGAGAGATGTCGATGGTTGCCGATGGCATTTTGGGTGCGACGATTCTTGGTGCATATGTCTTCGTAGTGGGAAAACACAGGTTCAGTCCCAAATGTTGCACAATAAGCTGAACTCATGGATTAGCGCGACTTGTGGGTAGGTTGGACAACGCAGCCGCGCATGAAATTCGCAAGTTTTACTATACAGATATCATTGCAATACGAGTATGGCGGAATGAGATTCGTTTCCTGCTTATCGCAGCTGAAGCTAGAAAGCGGTATCTTGCACAGACAGGTCCTCCATGATGCTAAGCCCGCACCACCCTCCCCCTACGTCAGCCCTTGAAGATCGGAAGCCTCTGCAAAAAACACAAGCCATAAGCCTCTGCAACCGAAACCCGAAGCCGCAGCAGCCAGAAGAAGGCGCCACCCTCAACCATCAAACGTAACCCAACACAACCTCAACCCCCTGCATACCCCCTAAACCCTAAACCCTAACCCCTAAACCCTAAACCCTAAACACTCCCGGGATTTCTAGAGACAGTGTGGTCTAGAGAAGAGGCCTGAAGCGAATCCCCCTTTGGCCAACGGGCAGAGCCATGAGATGTGGCGCCGACTGCTCTTCAACCTTTGGGTCCCTGCTCCACGGCTCACATCTTCTTCAGTGCTTCTTAGGGGTTAGGGTTTAGGGTTTAGGGGTTAGGGTTTAGGGTTTAGGGGTTTAGGGTGGTTTCCGGTTTAGTCGGCCTGGGGCTTTAAAATTTATTTTGCTTCGAACATCCCCACCCTCTCTTGGTAGAGATACTCTGGGGTTGCTCCAGGGACACACTGGGGCTGGGCACTCTGGGACGCTCTTGGGTTGGTTAGGGAGACACTCGGGGTTGGGCACTCCAGGGAGACTCTGCGGTTGGGGGCTCCAGGGATACTCGGGGGCTTGGCACTCCGGGATTGAGGGAGACTCTGGGTTTGGGCACTCAGGGACACGCAGTCGACCGGGCAAGGAGAAGAGTTCCGGGCGAGGCGAAGAGTTCCGGGCGAGTTGAGTTTAAAATCTAGCACCCCACACCGAGGGTGGGGAAAAAAGGGTGTAGGGTTTAGATTTACCGGCCGGCTCCTCAAGACCGGATGCAAGACAATAATTGTGCTGAGCTTTGTTTCATGTTGCTGCAATCCTTGCGGTTCATTTTCCGGCATGCTGTGACAAGAGGCCTGGAGAAAGAAGGTTTCGGGTTTTTAGGGTATTTTGGGTGGAAGGAACCAGAACCCACTCGGAAAAGGGTTGAGGGCGTTCGTCGTGGAAGTCCCGGAGGCAGACTCGGAGGAGTTGCTTACCAGTTCCTTTGCAAGGGTTCTGTTCGGGAGGATTCAGGGAGTGCGGCTTGCTTGCTACAACAGAGGCTACAGTCTGAGTTCAGTTTCCCTGCATGAGGTCTAGCTGAGGGCTTAGGGCCCTTTACTGAAGACTAGGTTGGAACCCTAAACCCTAAACTCTAAACCCTAAACCCTAAACCCTAAACAGGCTGGCTTAAGTTGACCCAAATCTCGCTACAACCCGCACTTTAACGTGAACAACCTTTCAGTTCATAGATGCCCAGGTGACTGTCGCCTCGAACTTCCTCGGGCAGCACAGGGACGAGGCCCTCATCCTAAACTAAACGGTCCTAAGCTCATCATAATAATAATAGTAATAATAATAATAATAATCAGAGTAGCATAAGACTATGCACCTCCCTTGTCTATGTCGCTGACCTAAGTACTTGGGGCCACTCCTGTGCGGCTGTCAATGCGTTTTCATCCAACTCTCAATTGTTATATAATCTGTTGCAAGCTAAATCCAAACCCAACAAGTTTTGTGCCCTAGGTTGTGAGAATGTATGGGTTTTTCGGGGCTTGTGCCCTTCATATGCTTGACTCGTTTAGAACTCGCCAACAACTCAGATCCGAAACTCTAACACTCGCCCTCGACCCCAAACACACGAGCCCCGAGCTGAAACCCATCCGCAGCTTTCGCCGCTCACTAGAGCATGACAGAGCCACTACGGAGCCACTAGTGCGCCCATCATCCCAGCAGTCACACCCTCTGAGCCCAAAATCTCGGCCTCAGACTCAAGAATCGTAGAACCCCCAACCCCGAACACGAAATAGATTTAGCCCACAACCCTGTAGTGTGGTGCAAGGGTGCGGGGCGAGGCCGCGGGTGGCCAAAGCAAGTTTGCCCCGGCACGATAGAATGGTATGAGGTTCCCGACTACCGGCCCTGCACCCTGGCGGACGACTGTAGGGGTGATGCCCCGCGCTGCCGCTCCGCGCCATTGGGGCTTGGGGGCTACTTTCCGGTACTTGCAGCTGAGGACAATTCCTGTTTTGACATACCAAGCAATACCAAGCAACACCAAAAAAGCATGCAGCGACAGCAAGGAAAGCTCGATACCAGCCGCATACACCTCTGAATCTCCAAACTCTTAATAGAACCTTCCCGAAGCCAGCAAACCTGGTGCTGCAACCCCGGATTCGTGTATGTATGTCCATACAAATGAATAATAAATAAACATATATATATACAAATATATATATATATATATATATATATATATATTAAAAAAAACAATCATTCATTTATTTCGTTATTTCCCTTGAACATATATCCATCAATAGCCTTGTTGCAATATTGCAGCCGAGTTATCGGACCCATCGTTATCATGAGAGCTTCTGCTTCCGAATGGGATTCAGGGCGATAGCGGAGCTTCCCAAAGATTAGGACGGGCCTGCCGGTTGCGTGCGCAAGCCCTATCCTTCACTCCTTTTCTGGTTTTGTCTTGAGGTCGTAGATTGGAGGCTGTGTTCGGGCCACCTGAAATCAGGGGTGGGTGACGATGCGCCGCCTCGCGATGCTTGCATGCCTAGGGTACACAATCCCCTCAGGTCGCGCGGGCCGCTGCGCCTCCCTGGACCCTTCGCTGCGCAGCGCGGTCGGCCGCTGTGTCGTGCGACGCCGGGGCCGGCGCCGCACGTCCTCCATGTTGTAAGAAGAACATTGAAGACCATTAGTCTAATACATATACTTACAGGGAGAGAGAGATACATACAGAGATAGATATAGATATAGATATAGATATATGTATGCATAGTATACATATGTATACGCCTGATAAAACGTTTGCATCTATCTATCTATATATATATATATGTATGCAATGCATATATATATATATGTATATATTTCTTTGTTTATTTACACATAGTGCGCGGCGAACATCCAACTTTCAGCCTGGACACGGCTCCGGCTGGCTTGCAATAAGGGTCGATGCTGGAAGCAGAGCTTGTCGAAGCACTGCGTAAGAAGCTTTAGGGCTCTCCTGCCGTCTCCAGGCAGGATTCGAAGCCCCCTGAGTTGCGACCAATCTTTAAGTTTCAACGCTACATGGGGTAATTAATGAGCAAGCAAGGCAACGTGGAGCAGTTGTGGGATGTGTGTTCTGTCGTTGTCTTTGAACCGTTCCGGTCCCGAAGATTCATGAATATTGAACAACTTGACAGGGAGGCGAAGCTTTGGTGTCAAACCCGAAGCATGCAAAGAATACAGCCGGAGACGTGGCTTCTCGTGCTCTCGGCAGGAGAATGGCCCTAAACCCTAAAAACCTAAACCCTAAAACCCCAAACCCTAAAACCCTAAAATCGCGTTTTTGGTAGTACGTGAAGCCCAAGGTCTGCGACCACGGCCTTTGTTTCTGCGAAGAGTGGCAGACCCCCGAGACTGCTACAGCCGCTACTCGGGAGCTTGTGCAGTTGTGCGGCACCCGTTGCCGTAGAGCTATTGCTGGTTCATTGTTTGAGGCTTTAGGTGGGGTTTCAGGGTTGGAGGGTTGGAGTTAGAGTGTCGAAGGCTGCAATAAGGATCTGTCTTAATGTCTGTCTTACAGGCCGCTTTGCTTCTCTCATTTTATCTTTGCGTTGCAGGACCAGAAGTTCAGCCAACCACAGTAAAAGCAGCCGTATAAAACGCCCTTTTGAAGCCTTTCCGGCCTCTTGTGCCTCTTTTTTAAAGAGCTTCTGGCGCTACTCCCTTAAACCCTCAGCTCCATGGTGGTTTACGTGGGAAGCCGGACCCCCCCAAGCAAGCCTCCGAGGCTGCGAGCGCGCAAACTGCACGGCCCTGCAGCTGCAGAAGCTGCGGCCAAGGGGATGGTGCCCTGGCAACTGCTATTTGCCTAAGAACCCCCCCCCCCCCCCCAAAAAAAAAAAAAAAAAAAAAAAAAAAATATATATATATATATATATAAACAGTTAAAGACCTAGATTACCCTTATAAAGGAAGAGTCTTTTGATTGTTTAGGTTAAGCAATTAGTGGGCAAAGAAGGAGGAGGTGCACTTTGATGGATATCGGTTGGGATGTTCCCCCTTTTACTAGCAGTTCCTGTGGATTGCGATGCGACACGAGTGCTCGCTGACAGCTGCATGCCGCAGACTGCACCGGCATGAAGCTCAGTTCCGGGTTCAAAAGGGCCTGGGATGGTTTTGGTTTTGGTGTAGGGTTCACTGGTTGACTTTTTCTTTTGTTGGGGGGGAGCGGGAGGGGGTTTGGGTGGGCTGGTTCAGGGTTGAGGAGGTTAAGGCATCAGGCGCGATGATCTAAGGCTTATCTAAGGCTTGTTGTTTGATTGCATGCCCATCCAGGAACCCTGGGCTTTGTCAACCGAAGCCTGAGACAACAACATGCCCCGTCCCAAACACATGAGCAAAGTTGAGAAACTATGTGCCAGGCCAGGGAAACCTCAGCAAATCAACAGAAAATCACGAGAAATCCGCCTACAGCCCTGAACATCCCCCCGCCCTCCAATCCTTTCAGGCGTTGCACACTGCTGGCCACACCGGGCTCTGGGTCTGTCAGGCACCGGAGGGCGGAAGGGGCGGGGGAAGGGGAGGGGGTTCCTTTCTGTTTTTAAGGGGTGAGCACACAGTTTCTTGAAGGGGTCCGGATTTTGAACATTTCCCCCCATGTGGAGGGGTCTTATGGCAAGACTTCAGGTGGGCTTCGGTTGGGAGGTTTGCATGAAGAGGGGGCATAGAATTGATGGCCCGAGATTCTTCAAGACAATTTCAAGCCGATAATTGTTGCCGAGGATGCTGTGCTTCACAAGTTTTGTCGTTCCAGGACCTATCGATCCTTCGTTACGAGAAGGGTGCAGGACATAGGCTGTGAGTTCTAAGAGTTTGACAGCTGCTTCCACCGAACTTTCCCGTGGCTCTCTCATGTGGCCCGGCAATTCAGTTTGCCTTCATCAAGACTTGGTCTGCGCACCCACCCAGGCATCCTAAGCCGAAACTCTAGCAAACATGCGTGGCTTCGAGTTGCATGAGGCGCCCTACCGAATACTTGAAGAGCTGTTGAGGCCCTCCTATTGCGGCCATGACTTACTGCGCTGCACCCAATCAGGGTACCTGCACCAAGATGTTCCGCATGACGCCCTATAAACCATCCCTTGGACAGCACAACTTGCGGAGGATCAGCTTGGCACAGGACATGGCATCGCGGGTCGTTGTTGGCGACCCGTATTGCCATCCAGCAAGTACGTCTTCCTATGACTGTTCCTGTTGTTGACTACTCGTCCCCGGTCTCGTCGTATCAGTATGATCCGTGATCTACCTAGTCTGCTGACGAGGCGAGCCACCTGAACCATACAAAATCAACAGCGCACACCACCTTATCCATTCTTGGTGCTTGTTTTCATGAGCACTGTTGCACATGCAGGTGGTCAGCGGATGGATATCGATCTGCTGGGCGCTGCCACTACCGCACCCTGCCCGGCGAGGGCTGTTTCTTCCACACAGATCCTCAGCGCCAAAGTTGCTTGCGCTGACTGCAATGAATCATTCAGGGAGCTTCCATCAACTACATGGAACCTCAGAATCCCGTTCTCTGAAGACCATTGAAACCCTAACGGCGCAATGCCTAGGCCAGAGCACACTCAATTCCCCAAGTGTCGCAAGGCGTGTCAGGAGATGGATGGACTCTGCTGCCCCGACGAGTTCGGCATCCACCCCGAGTGCAACGAGCTTGCAGACTGAGCGTGCAGGGTGGCAGTTGGGGTTTTGTGTCCAGTTCAGTTGGCGGTGCACCGCGTTAGGGGTTCCTGGTATTCAGGGTCTAGAGGTTTCGAGCCTGCAGCCGCGCTTTGTCACAGGCTGCTCCGAGCAGGCTGCTCCACTGCTGGTTGCCCTGCTTGCAGACAACGAGTCGCAGTCAGGCTGGAATGATGCTGGAGACTTAAGGGGCCATACGGAAAGATGCTGGAAACAAGAAGCATGAGGTCTGTAACTCGTACCCTCTGGCGATCAGATCTGAAACAATAAACGGCACGACCTCTTGCACGTCCGCTGTGATCAGAGCAGGACGCGAGCACGAGGAGGAGGTGGAGGAGGAGAACAAATCTTTGCTGCTGGGCTGCGTGTGCTGGACATAGTAACTTAACAATGCATGTAGCATAATGCAACCATCGTAATATTGTATCGCATAGTAAAGTACTGATGCATGGTATTCATACTGAGTTATATTATATACACTAATCTACACTACATGAAGAGATGTGCATGTACATTATATCTGTATACACACACCTACAATACATACACATAATATAGAAGAACAAGCATGCCACCACCTCGCTTGCAGACAGTGCGGCGCCTGAGGTCTCAGCCGCCTCAGAAGAATCCCAGATCAAACCGAAGCCCTAAACCGGGTTCAGCGTTCAGTATATAGGGTTATAGGACCCTAGTCGACAAGGATGCGACCACCAACACCTCAACTACTTCGTACGGGCATGGTAAGATCATGTTCAGTTTGCTGAATATCTCTCTCAAGCTATCGACCCTGTGAGTGATCCCAACAGAAGCCCGATGAACTCCCTTTCCTCCACCTCCCTCCCCTGCAAATGCAGGCTAGTCCGTCTGCACGAAGACGAGCGCACGATCTGGCTCCTGCTAGCCCCTGGGACTTTGAACTATGTTGGAATCTTTTCGGGCCTCCTTCGAACAACAAAAGATCCTTCACAATCCTTGGCTTTGAATGCTGTCCGGTCTCTGTTGCACCCGTGCCCAATGAAGCCCTCCTTGGCTCAACCTGAAGCCGGGTTTCTAGACGTTGAATAAGAGCGCTTATGGGAAGACTTCCGTTGCGAACTCGCCCGAACCCTATGGCGAAATGTTGAACATAATACCCTCCACAGCTTTGCTACCCAGGGGATCCTCGTGCTCCTGCTGCTGAGAATGGTGCCTCTTCTTCAAAAGACCGGCGTTCAAGCTAGTCAGGAAACGGAGATTCTTGGCAGTGGAGCCAGTTGGTGAAGATCCAGTTCGTGATTGCGTGTTCCGTGTTTGATTTCGGGCGCGAGGGCGAGGAGGGGGGTGGGTGGGGGGTTGTGTTGGGTACTTCGTGCCAAGGTGCTCAGCTTAGCAATCGCAATGATGTCGGAGGAATGGCCCCCCCTTTCAAGCCTCCTGACTTAGAGGGCCTGACACGTGCCTGCGACAAACGCCCTGCAGCCCTGTTTTCAGGTGTTCACTTGCTCTCAGCCGCAAGATCTGATGGTCACTGTGGCCTGGCAAGAAGCTCTACAACTTGCGGCTCTAAGGGTTTGGGTTGTGGATTGAGGTTGTAGGGCCAGGTCTGTCTGTCTACATGACAAGCAGGGTTCAAGACAGCTCCTGCTAGCATGTCTCCTCAGCCCTGAACCCTAAATCGCAAACCGGCCACGTTTTGCTCAAGTACTAGCTTTCAGTGTATACCTCTGGCGACTTCTGGTCCCAGTGAGTTCTCAGATTCTTGCAGGACTCGGATCTCGCGTCCATACCTGCCACTGGCGCAGCGCCGCACGCCTCCACATGGCTGGAAGCAACTCGGGCGTTTCCAATCGAGGACTTCGGCTGTGCTTCCGTGTGGCAGCAGTTTTGGGGCTCCTGGCCGTGTTCAACGGCTTCTTGGCGTTCATTGCTGGAGCAGGCTTCCGCTCATTGGCCCAGCGCCACGTGGCGCTCTCGGCCGAGGGTGGGACAACACTGGAGAAGAAGCCCAAGGCACAGAATGAGTACCGCCTCAATGTCGGTCGCGCCATCGACGTCCTGCGTCGTGACATGGTGGGCCTGTTCGGTCGAGAGCAGCATGTCCCGGATTTCTCCATCTACAGCCCGGACATTGAGGTGATTGACGCCCACCTCCCCAGCTTTCAGCTACGTGGCCTGGCCACCTATCAGCAGGTCCTGTCGACAATGCAGTGGTCCATCAAAACGACCTGCGACCGAACAAAAATGGAAATTACGTCCCTGACACCGCCAGTCAACGACCAGATGTACGTTAGGTGGCGCCTCCATTTGTGGTTCAAAGATGTTCGCTCGCTGCTGCCTCCAGCGTTTGGCGGTTCACCCATGATGAATATGCAGGGGCCGCTCATTGTGGAGGGCTATTCTCGCTACCAGTTCGATCCATGGTCCGCAGAGATTGTGAAGCACACCATTGAGATCACGAATCCACCCATGCACCTCTCAGACCTGGTGGGCCAGTATGCCCGCACACCCTCATGGGCGATGCCAGTCAGCACAGGCCTGGGCGTCCCCAGCCTCACACGTGCGTGGCCCATGCACGAGGCGTCAGCGCTGACGGGAGCTACCACAGCCCGCGCCCGCAGCTCCACGTCCCGCGCTGCCACGGCTCGAAGCTCAGGTTGGCTGCCTGGCTTGCCACAAGGCTGGGTCATTGCGAAAAATCATTTTTTACATCTTTATGAAACATGAAAATAGTAACAATAGTACCCCAAAACAATGGTGCAAAAAGGCTGCGAGGATGATTTTGAGTGCAACGATGGCAAGGCCAACTTCCCCCTCCAATGCTGTGAGATGCCACTGCTGGGCAAGTTTTGCTGCGAGCCTCCAGACGACTTCGCCACGGGCGTGCCGGACATCCCTGCATATCTCCCATTGCCAGTTCCCATCGAGCCAGAAAGTCAAGGCGGTAGCAACTACTAGGCAGCCTAAGCGCCGCCTAGGCCATTCCCTCTTGCCTGCAGTGATCCCAGGAGGAACAGCTCCGAAGACAGCTGGGGGAGGCGGAGAGGGGGGGGGGGGGAAGGGGGACTTCTCAGGTGCTGGGAAACGTGCTGGGAATTTTCAGTCCAGCAGCCCAAGATGGGAACTGCCGAGGGCAGTTCTTGCTGTGTCAATGCAAGGCTAGCCCAGGCTATGTACAGACATGTTTTTCGATGATGCTGTGCATCGTCCCTTTGCCTACAACTTTTTGATTGGGCCTGGAGCCTGACAGACTCTGTAGGGCTGTTGCGCGAAAGCCGTGCTTTAAGGCTTCATGTCCAGGGCCAGTCCCTTTGCCATGCACGCACAGGATGCACAGGATATAGCGATGTTCGAGTACATCGAGATAGACCGAGTCAGTTTCACGGCAGAGGGGAGAAAAGATGTCGTCCATGCTTTGCAACAATTCCTCGAGTACCGGGGGGGTCAGCAGCATAGCCGTAGCCTCCTCTGACACTTGCCGAACGACGTTGTGGCGCTGTGGGCTTGAGCATCTCCGGAATGAGTGCCTGCCAACCTCTCATTGTTGCTCCATGTTCCTGGTGACTACGTGGCGGTCAGGTACGGTCAGTGGTAGGAGGAACCTGACGTGTTTTTTGCGGGACTCTGGGCTATTGCCTGGCCATCAGCGTCGAAGTTCCAAATCGGCAATGCTCAGGAGCACCCCGGCGAAAACGACTATGCTGGCCTCGACGCTAGGTGGTGATGGTTTCAGGGAAGAAATAATCAGAGGAGTTGCTCTTGGATGACATTGCCAAAGTTCGTAAGGCGACAGAGTGCTGGCAGTCAGGAAGTCGGGTTTTGGACTTCGGTTTCAAGGCCGAGTTTTTGCTGCTTGGGACTAGCCAGGATCGCATGTCACAAAACAAAGACGCTTTAACATCTTCAAAGCGTCCACTCAAGGCCACTACCACGCGCTGCGGGCAGCCCGAAAGGGACAGCACCACCAGAGCGCTGAGGCATTCAGGCGCCTTCAGGAAGTTTAGATGGGGTCATGGGACTGTGGGGCGGTCGTTGGCGAGTTTGTTTTTGTCCGTTTATGTGTGTAGGTGGGTTGTTTCTCTGTCTCTCTCGATCTTTTGTTTTCTGGGTGCGGGGTGCGAAGGTGGAGGTTTGACAGTTCAGACCTCACGGCGCATGCGTCTGGGACTGGGCTTGTTAGGGTTTGGAGTTGGTGGGCCGTACAGGAGCCCTTTGGTTACTGGGTGTGTTGCTCAGACGGGCTTACAATCATGGGCTTATCTTGGGCCGAATGGCTGCAGTCGCAAAGCCAGCCGCATGTGGATTGCTCCCCCGTGCTTCCAGTCCTCTGGTGTCAGCCGGTGCAGGCACTCCTCTATCGCTGAGCTTCAGCATGAGTCGCTTTCCCTGAATGCTACGTACCCTCCTAATACTTGCAATTTTACTACGTACTTGTTGCTGCTGGAACATGTGTTTCCTGTAGAGGGGGGTTTAGTCGTCGGGTGGAAGGAACCGCAGCAAGTAGACAAGACCGGCAAAAAGTTCGGCCTTTCGGGTCCTTCAGTTTCTCGCAATCATCCTCCAGGCAAGTACATCATCGCCTTTGTGAACAAGGGCTCGGGGGATCAGAAGAGTGCTCTGCTCCATGATGCCTTTGCAAGCCTCCTCGATGAGTATGGCCACTTGGAGGAAAATCTTGGGTCCTTTGTTGGTTGGGTTCAAGCTGTTCAGGCTGTGCAGGGTCCCAGCCACGGAGAAAACTTGCTGTCTGAGGCCCAGTTATGCGAAGTCTGTTTGTTGACGTTTCTGTGTTGGGATCTTCCCCCTTTTACTAACAGTCCTTAATGGGGATTATGATAGGGGGCACCATCATCCCGATTAGCATAAGGGACTATCCCAATGTACATGGGCCGAAATGGCCGAAAGGTGCCCAGCCGAGGTTGCGTCTGCGTCCTGCCAAACGACCTGGATCGGGGCATGCGAAACTTCGAGCTGCCAGAGTTCTAGTTTCAGGATTAGATTTAGGGCCTTTACCGGATTTAGGGTTAAGGGTTCAAGTTCTGAAGTGGCTTGTGAGGAGGGCGGGAGGTTTGGGGGGGAGGGGGGGGGGTGTGCGAGTGTTAACATCACGCGCACCCGACTTGCCCCCTGCGGCCTTGAGCGCCGCAGGTACTTGGGACAGTTTTGGGCTTTGGGCTCTAGAGAATGCATGGTTGTTATCTTAGCATATCATTCTCGTCTGCTATTATCTCATTCTACGATTACTCTTCCCGGGGTTTGTTTAACGCAGGGTGGCTGTCCTGTCGATTCCTGGTTTCAAGAACCGTGACAGTAGTCTCAAGACATTCGGTCCTTCGAACTTTGAGGCCGACATTAGCTAGGCACGTTAAAATGGTTCCGACGGTTCGGCAGAGTTCCCAACTGTTCGGGGCTGCTTCTAGGCTCTTGAGAATGCTCTGACAGTTCCTGAGAGTTGCTTGATGGTTCCAGAGCCCTTGCTTGGTGCTGACACGCAAACAAGCCAACGGGCCTTCCAAGACTAGAAATTGTCATTGTTATGTTTGGATTTCCTTGTAATGTTACAGTATGTGTAGTACTATAATGTTACAGTATGTTTCTTGTGCGTCGGCTCCTGCAAGCGAGACCAAGAACTGGCTGCTTCGAAGCAGAAGTCCGATCAGAATGTCTATGTCCTGGCATGCCCTTCTGGCGGCAAGTCTTCGGCACGGCACCCGTAAGTTTGCAGCTTGCACCACTTTGCAAAACGGTATCCAAGCATTGGCAACGCGGAAGCTGCCAGGCACTGTGTAAGCTGGGGGAAGCATTTTCGGAGGCCGTCATGCGCATTCTACCGTCGTTCAACGTGTTATCGTGGAGTGTTGAACACCTGAAGAACGAAGAAGCTGACCCGACCACTGACATGTTCCATCGCGTGCTCGCTGCCCTCATGCACAAGCTTGCTTCTAAGTCACCGCAGCACATCCCAGGCGGCGGGGATGGAACAGTCACCTGGGTTCTGCCCCTTGGCTCAGTGAGGACTTTCGCCTCAACCCCATCCCCCGCAGCTGTCGGGCTGGTGGCACGCCGACTTGCATAAACACCCAAAAGCCTTCGAAGCAAAGTGCGGCTCCCTTTTTTTAGGGGATCATCCAGCAAGAGTGGAACGATACAGAGGAAGATGACACACTTTACAGTAGCCAGAACTAGAAGCACCACCCAGCACCGGCCGTCCATCAGCCACACTCAGCGGAAATCCCTGTGGGGAGGTCAGAGCTGCAAGCGCGCCGAAGGATGTTCGAAGACGGGACGCTCCTCAGACGGCATGTGCAGTTAAGTTGACATGGCATGGCACAAGAGCTGTATGCCATTGTGAAAGCCTCGAAGCCTCGGGGGAGCATCTCTGGATGGCCAGGCGACTAAAGCTCAACCCTTCCCATACCCCAAACGTGCCTTGCAGTGGTGGTTCGTTGGAACAAAGACTCGCAGCCTGGCAGACCAAGGCCTCCGGTCGGCTACTTTGCTTGAAGTGAGGGGATTTAGTGGGCTGCTGTGCTTTTAAGGTCTTCGAATCTCTTGGGCTAAACTCCTCTTGAGACATCAAAGGCATCAAAGGTTCGCCCTGAATGCTGGAAACCGAGGTAAGAGGTTGAAAACACATGCCTCAACCACCCACCCTGCACGTAGCACAGCACAAAGCTGCAACTTGAGAGCCATCACAAACCTCTCTTCTTTTTGGTGACAAGATCGTTCTCGTGCAGGGCGCCTTGTGACTCCTTGGTAGTCTACGCAAACGTGACTGCCCCGTTCAGCATATTCACCATGTAGGAGCAGTGCAGGTGGCATGTCAGCAGTTCAAGGCTCGTAGAAGTCCTCCCAAGGCATCATTCCGATGGGCACGGGCAATGACCTGGCAAGGTCTCTGGGCTGGGGCCCGGCGCTGGCAGAACTTAGCCAACTGGAGACTCGGGTGGGAAAGGCTTCGGGCTGTACAGGCTAGAGAGGAGCGGAAAATAGTTGGCATTTTTTTTTGTGCAATCTGGGGGCGGGGGGGGCGGGGGGAGTGAGCGATTTGAGAAGTCGGGGGTGCAGGGAATTGGGCTGGGGGGTAGGCAAATTTAACGGGTTTTGTCTTGTAGTTTTTAGCTTTGGACTGCACGAGTTTGGGGAGTTTGAGGGTTGAGGGCTTAAGCAGGATAGATTTGGCATGGGCGGTTCTAGGACGCTGGGGGTGTGCACAAGTTGAGGATTTAGGTTTGAGGAGGTAGAGGCAGGCTGTGCTGGGACTTGGTTTGAAAGGAGCTGGCCCACTCATCGTGTGTGTGTGTGTGTGTGTGTGTGTGTGTGTTTATTCTGAGCAAACCCTAAACCAAAAACCCCAGTCCTAGACATCTGGACCTCCAGGAGAGTTATGTGATGAGAACTATCCACGCGGAGGTTGTGCTTCTCGACCAGTGGCACCATGACCTTGTTGAAGATGGGGGGGGAGGCTCTAGGAAGTTGTACTACATTAACGTGATGATGTGAGAATACAATGGTTTTGTACATAGGTAATATAATGACGCAATGGCAGTCTGCTATTCACTTTGTATTCTGATGGTGTAGCCCTTGCTTGTCTGGCAGCAGGTCGGATGCGTGGGGTGATAGGCCACAAGTTTCCAGGTCGCTTCTTCGTGAGCGCTTCGCACTTTTAGTGCCCTTTATCGCTGAGACTGCCCTAGCTTCGGTCTAGGGAAGGGTGATGAAACGCAGACCGAAACCTAAACCCTAAACCCCAAACCCTAAACCCTAAAACCTATGCTGAAGGAAGCTCACTCTTCGACCTCACAGCATGCTGCCGCCTTCACTGCGGCCAAAGGAAGAGCACAGGGCTGTGCTTTGTCCGGAATGGCCTGGTTGCTCTTTGGTGTTATATATATATATATGTATATCTATATATATATATATATATATGTATATGTGTATATATGTATATGTCTATATGTATATCTGTATATATGTATGTGTATATATATATATATATATATACATATGTATACATACATTCTTTCTTTGCGAGCATATACCCTGTTGTGCCTGTCGCGCAGCAGAGATCATGGAGCCATCAGCCAAGGAGTATGTTGGGTACTTCACCAATTACTTTTCAGTCGGCATGGATGCCAGAACGACGTGGCTTGCCATTGATGGAAGGTATCGAACTTACATACCCCAACTCCACAGCCCAACTGCAAAACCCTTTCGATCAAGCTCGGCAGAAGTAGCAGCACAGGCCATGGGGTGCTGGCAACGGAGTAGAATTGAAGCCGGGTTCCATGCAGGGAGTGCAGCCTGACCTGGTTGAAGAACGTTCTTTCTCAATCTGGCGGATAGGGCTGCTCGCCTTTTTGGCTTGAAATTCTTGACTTGCGAGTTTACGAGTGTTGCATGTTAGATGATGAAACTCACGTCCGATAAAGCTTGCCTGCCATGTGCAAGTCCAAATGGAAAGCCGAGAGCCCTTCCAGTCATGGGGCATGCAAGGTACGAGGTGGGCAAGGCACGCCAAGGGCGACTAGGCGCGTCGGTGCTGGGATGCGAGAGGTTGATCAACCTGTACTTAGATCTGGCAAGTTGGAGCGACGTCTCGATTGTTGACTATAGTGCTTAATTAGTGCATCCGAAGACTACTGGGACACCCATTGTGCACCGGGCGCGAAATGCCTGCGTACAATTCTATTCTGATCCGTGCGCAACACGTTTCAGTCAGGCCGTTGCTGTTTCCAGCTTCGCTGCCTCTGGCCATTCAGCCGCGCGGGTGGCAGTCTGACCTTCTGAGTGCAAATTTAAAACGTGCCAGAGGACTACCAGGGGAAGGCGTAAGGCAGTTGGGCTGTTCACGGTGTGCTCTCTGGCCCTTGGGAACCTAAATGTTCCGTTGACATCCATCGTCGGTTGAATTCAGGGCCCCGACATTCTACGCATGTTGGGAATGAAGCGTGGCACCTTTGCTCAACAACTTGGTCAGTGATGTGATTCCCTGGCTCTCTAGCCAGGGACCTAGTGGGAGCCGAGCTGAGGCTTCATCCATGGCGGTTTTCTGTGTTACGCCTGCAAGGCGCCCAACATGCTGCGAGCCTTGGCGTCGAGTGACTTGCAGATGGGAATGCGCACGTTCATCTTGGCCGAAAAAGAGATGTCAAGCAAAGACATTCTTGTGGTTGTGTGACCTGCTGACCTGTAACTGACACTCGGGTGTTCTTGTCCTACAGGGGCCGTTGCGCGGCTTTGGTGCGAGAGTGTTGAAATCCGCTCAACTGCCCTCAAGGAATCTGCTGCTGTCGCAAGAAGGCCTTGAACAAGGATCTTTCGCTGTGGTTTGACGGATCTGAGCAGGCGTGCTGTGGCTGCATCTTCTGTTCAAGTGACATCGCAAGACGGGATCATTGTGCACCGGCGAAATCCGGCGAAGTTGATTTCTTAGGGCAGAGAAGAGCTCCGCTTCCTAGCTGCTGCAAACTCCACGAGCTCCCCCTGACTGAGCACCCAAAAAACCCCCAAAGCGCCAAAACCAAGGCATTCTTTCCGCCAGGACGAGTTTCGCCCGGGACTCAGCTTCACGAGCCAAGACTGCCCCGATCCGACCAAAGTCTGCGAACCCCGGGATTTCTCAGGTCTTCGGTCTTTGTGACTATTTGGCATTCGGTTTTGCATCTAAGCTTTAAAAAGGCATGGGTTTGCCTACCCGTGCCGCGCCTGGCCACGGCAGGACAGTTTACGCTCACGAACATCAACTCCTACGGAGCAGGCGGGCGTTGTTTCTCACTGCTCCCTGCTAGTCCCAATTCTCCCGCAAAAAGGGACTTTCCGGGAGCCCCTCTTCATCTGCAGGAATGGCGCTCTATGGGAAGCAGCATTTCCGCCACACCGTCAGCCCAACAGACTGGCGATTGGAGGCGCCCGCGCCCCAGCCACTGACAGTCGCCTTGGAGGTTGCTGCGACAGCTTTCGCCGAACCGCCTCAATCCTGAAACCATCTGCAACCCAGTTTGGAGTCCGCAAACATTGGCTGACAACCCCAAGCTTGGCATTGTTGGTTCGTTGACTGGTATACCTCAAGGGCGATGATTGTCACAGATGCCCCAGACTCAGGTTTACGCTCCATGGTCCAGTGTCTGTGGCCGGTGGCTTGGTTGCATTGCCGAGCTTATGTATAGCAGCCGTGATTGAAGCAGGCTCTGTCGATAAGTTGCTGCATGCTAGCTCAGAATGCCTGTCGCTGGGGCCGAAGGCCAGACTGCCCCATGAATAACCACCAGTCGTTGCAGCCTTTCCACGTCATCATAGACACAATGCCATGGACAGATCGGAGATCCCAATTTCTTTCACATTGCCTCAAAGCAGTCCCAGTGAAGGGGGCCCGAAAAAAGGGAAGAATTGTTGATCTAGTTGGAACCTTTACGGCTTAGCAGGGCGAAGGGTCTAGATCATTTAGGATTCCTCATCAGGGGTTTCAGTTGTGGTATTTAGGGTTCAGAGGAGGAGCCTCAGCATCAGGGGTTTCAGTTGTGGTATCTAGGGTTTAGAGGAGGAGCCTCAACAGTCCTGGGTTCAGAAGAGTTGGACGCTTTTGCGTAGAATCCAGATGCAAAAAGAGTTGGACGGTTTCACCCCAGTTCTCAGGAATGACCACGGCAAAGAAGTTTCTGGGTCTGCCGTGCCAAAGCTGCAGTGCCTCTCGGCTGCTGAGATTTTGTGCCTCAACGCCTAGAGAAGCCTTGGTTTCAGTTTTTGGTTTGCTGGGGAAGAGGAGGCGGGCGATAGCGGCCGAGAGTTGCTAGAGTTGCACGGTTCTAGTTTGTTTTCTTGGTGAGGGATTTCTCACTTGGGTTGGGTTTGGGCAAGGCTGCCGCGAAAGCAAGACACAGCTTATGCAGTTCTGCCGGCACCAGGCTTGTATAGCTGGAAGACGCACATGTGCAATCCCTAAACCCGAAAAACCCAATGCCAAGAAGGACAAGCCTGAACCCGTCGTCAACCCCTGGACCCCGAAAAAGCCAGAGCTCCAAGCGCCACACGCTGTTGTATCTTGCGCCGGAGGGGGAGGGGGGGCGGGGGTCGGAAATTAGAGAGTCTACTGATCTGAGTCTGAGAGTATCGTGGCCCCACGCGCGTAGCACGGGCCCACAGGGTTACCTGAGACCTTGCCTGCTGCGAGCGTGACAGTCGAAACACTAAAGCCCTCAAACATGTCCACGTTTGGAAGCCTCAGATTCGCATCGACCACCAGCCCGCGCGCGTGGACTCCTTGGGGATTGAATCTCAGGGGTTAAAGCGTTCAGGGGGCTTCGGATTTCGGAGGGTATGTTAAGCCCCAGAAACCCTTCAACCCTCAGAAACGCCAATAAGCCTCGCATCTGAAGTTGCACACGAAAGCCACCCACACACATGGAACTCAGATTTCGAAGCCGGGAGGCCTTCTTTCGAGAACTTTTTTCTAGGTCCCCTCCCCCCAAGAAGGTTTGGCAAGTTCTCCTAGGACAAGGGGGGAGCCCTTAAAAGGGAGCCGTTCTGAACCCTCTTCTGGCACCCTTGTTGAGGGTCTATATCCCCAAGGGTCCCCCTAAACCTATCCCTTAAGTTTGCAGGATCTGGAGCTCAAGCGGGGCCAGTACTTCCAAATGGACGGCGAGCCCTGGTACCTTTCGGCAGCCTGTCCGGGCCCTGGGCACGGACCTGGAAAACTTGTAGTTTAGACTACGAGTCGAGGATTGGTGCCAAGGCATCATGTAGAGTTTCCGGTCATCGGTTACAGTTCATGGCTTAGGGGTAGGGTTACTGGGTAGGGTTCACTCGGCTTTTCTTGCCAGCATCCCCCTTTATAAGCCCTCGAAGACTCTAAGCCCTCAAGCAGTGGGTGCTTGTGGTTCCCGTCCGATGCATTCGGGATCTCTGCCAAAGGTTGGTTGGGTTCCCCAGCGAAGTACACTTCAACGACTCAAGACACATCAACCCGCGGAAGCAGGGAGCTTGTCATGTCGAGAGGCGTCGTCGAGACTCTTCCTGTGGGCTCAGCGGAAACACCCTAAACCCTAAACCCTTTTTTTGCCACCCTCTCACGAACATGAAACTTTCGAGGAACGCGTCGCTCTCCTCAGGTACAGCAACCATCGAGCCCAACACGCAGGTCGGCCTAGGAGCCTCAAAAAGCCCAAAAGCCCCCAATGATAGGGTTTAGCGTTTAGGGTTTAGGGTTTAGGGCTTAGGTTGAAACAAGGCCTCCGCAATCCCTGAAGCCATGAACCCACCCCCACATCAAGAGCCCGAGTGCGCATCGATCCCGTGCCTGGGGCATATGCCTCCAGAATGTCCCAGTATTTCCCAGTACGAAAGTCAAAGTTGGTGCCCCCCACCACTTCCAAGAGTGTTAAGAGGATGTGGAGCAGGGCATCCGATGCATGTCAAAACAGGCAATTTCCCAAGATCCAGAACCTCTGGCTTGGTGATTTCTGTAGTGTTTAGGAATCATTACGGGTTTAGGGTTTAGGGTTTAGGGCAGTTTAGGGCAGTTTAGGGCAGTTTAGGGTTTAGGGTTCTGACTTGCAGAGTGTAAAAAGTCGCCCTCCCATGAACTCCTGGGCGCAGGTCAAGATGCTTTGCCCACCCTTGAATGGTGTGGGTGCTGGGGTTTGGGGCAGCCGCCAAGAGAGGACGCACGCAGAGTCCATGATCCCCGCTCATATGAAGCCACGCTGCCTCACTTACAGGCATAGGTAACTTGCAAGGTGAATAAGAATTTTGGGTCCTTGAGAACAGGTCGACACTTCCAGGGTCGGGCAACCTTGTGACTAGAAGCCCTGCTCACACGAGTGTCTCGAACGCATAACGACATAATCTGCTGCTGCTCCGCAAGAAACAGATCGTTCGAGAGATTACTGGTGCGGGGTGGCGACTACCTCAATGAGCTTTAGGAGCAGATTAGGTCTTTGGTAGTTGTGTTTTGCAGCTTGGCGAAGGACGTTCTGGACACCCATTCAGCCAGCATCCAGGCCCAGGGCAAAAGAGCTGCTTATATGACAGTTGTTATTTGGGCTTCAGGTTTACCGCGCTCCTGGGTCTTCGGGGGTGCTACAGATCTGCAAGCCACACAGACCCGACCCGGACCTACAAGACACGCAAAAGTTTTTCCGGATGCAGCCAGCTGTACAGTAGAACCCTCCCCGTGCTTCTGCGTTGTCCCTGAGTTGAGCGCGGCTTCGGAGATGTCTGACCCTTGCGACATTTGCGTGCTATTCCCTCCATGCCGGCGCAGGTCTCCCTCCCCCCCGGTAGCCTCGGCTCCACACATAGGCTTGGCTACGTGTGTGTCTTGACACTTGTTGGTCAGATGCCCAAGCCTTTCAGGGTGCTTAGGTGGGGTGAGGTGGTTGAGGGGTTTGGACTTAGGGCCTTTTGGAAGGTAGCTTATGAGACAGGCCTGCAGACCTGCACCGAGCCTTGTTTTCCAGGCACTGATGTGCTGTTGTCCAGCCCGGCACGACAATGCACACTGCAACCGCCACAAAACTTCCCAACCCCCAAGTGTGAACCCCGCGGGGGTCCACAACGCAGCGAAAACTGAGTATTGCTGAATCTCCTCAAGAGTGTCCGAGGTGCATGGACAACAGCACAGAGGGTGCAAGGCATCTCAATGCCCGTTGGAGCCCGACAGCTGTGCTCGAGACCCTTTAACAGCGACTCAGTGAGTGAACCCAAAACACGAACACTTCGCATCCAACACTATACTTAAATTTCGCTGCACATAAAGCACCCAACGTCCCTGCGCTCAAAGTTTGTTTTTTGAAGCCCAAGGCCCGTGACAGTTCGAGCTACAGTGTCCCACAACCTCTATTTTCTGCATTCCCAGCTTTCTGGCTGTTCGGGATCCCGCTAATGCCAACGCCGCTGCTTCGGAGTTAGCCCGTCTTGCAGCGAACAACGCTGCCTCATCGATTCGAGCAGCGTTCGGTGGGCTGCAGCTGAGACGCATAGACACATCAGACACCTTAGCTGTTGGCCGCGGGTGTGAAGGTCTTGTTGTTCACCTCTATGTGAGTTTAACAGTCTTGGACTTAGAGATGAGCCATGGTGAGAATCGGTTTCCACGAGATTCAGGACTCAATAGTCATTTTCGGGGTTCTTAAGCAATTAGTAGATAAGGGTTTCCAGAGTTTCGAATCACGTGCCAAGCATACACATGCTGCTGGTGCCTCAAAGGGCCTCCTCCCAGTCTCAACCTTACGACCTATGGTCTCCAAATGCCTCCAGAAAACTAGTAATATTCTTCCTTAGAAGGGAAATATAGGGTTTATTATTTTGATTCCTTTGGGGTTCTTAAGCAAATAGTAGAAAATAGGTAGCGCGTGATTCCTGTGCTGCTCTCAAGTGGCGAGCCGCCTGCTCATGCAACGTAGACACGTCGGATCCGGCACAAGGCACATCGAATGCAAAAATCTCGCCTGAGCTTACCGATCGGTTTCGGGTTTAGGGTTTAGGGTTTAGGGTTTAGGGTTTAGGGTTTAGGGTTTAGGGTTTAGGGTCACAGTGAAGAGAGGTCCAAGAGTCTATTGAAGGCTTTTCGGGGTAAACCCTGTGCCCTCCAAATTTCGAGTCGAAGAACAGCGCCATTCAGGTGTGAGGTAGTTGGCTTTGCGGGCGGTTTCAGTGCTGGCTCCATAAAGGCCAGCCTCCCTAGCCCGTCTAAACCCATACTAACCACCAATTTGCGGCACGGGTGCGACGGTTAGTCGATGCAACTCTAGACCGTTAAGGCCCCCAACCTGTCAGTGCCATGAGGTCCTTTAACCCCTGACAGCAATTTAAACAGCTCCCACTACCAAGCAGTGAACAGTGCAACGCAAGAGCCTCTTGTCGGCTCCGAAACAGGCATTCTGAGCAGCGCAAAGGTCCCTCAAGATTCTTCAAAATCCTTCAGAAGCCCGTTTGGAGACATTCATACAAATAAAGCAGGTCGTGCTGAAGTCTCTCGCTCCTTGGGCTCTTCAGTCAGTCTTCGCTCATGGCCCATCCCTGTCCGACTGGAAGTGGCGAAGTAGAGAACAGCATCGAAGGAGCTGATACTAAGGGCAAGGGCTACAAAGGCCCTGGAAAGTTCGCAGGCAAAGGGCCTGGACCAGTCAAGGGAGGAAAAGGCGCCAACCCAAGCTGGAAAGAGAAAGCTGCTGCTGCCGCAGCAGAGCCTAGGTCTCCCAATGGGCCCTTTTTTCCCGTTTTTGGGTCTTAGGTTCCTTATAAAAAACTACCCAGTACCATAAAATGGGAGCCCTTATTAGGGGCCCTTATTATTCCTAGGTTACTGGCGATCCTAGGAGCCCTTCCAGAAGCTGCGCGTGGCCTCGCTGCCCCCTGGAGCCATCACGTCGCCTCGATGGGAGACGACCTTCGCCGTGGACTTTCCTGCTGCAGGCCAGACTGAGAGTGTCTTGGTTGCCCTATAGGTTATAAACCCTAAGCCTGAACCCTGAACCCTGAACCCTGAACCCTGAACCCTGAACCCTGAACCCTGAACCCTAAACCCTAAACCTTAAACCCTAAACCCTAAACCCTAGCGCCGAGTAGGGTTGAGAGTATTGGGTCGAGTTCAGTCTGTCTTGGTGGTCCAGTGGACCCTTTTGCCCTGTTTGGGCTGTGGGACCCCAAAAGGGGTACAGATTTTACAGTTTGATTTCCGGGCTACCAAGGTGTTGTGTTTTTGGCTACGCTGGATGGGAGCTATGTGTTGAAGACTTCACAGGCCCCGGCTCAGGAGTATTTTGCCACGAGATTCATTCAGAAACTTGGTATTCCAACCCCGCAGATGCGAATCATCTTTGGAAAGGATGCAGAGCATAGTAAAATCCGAGAAGCTCTGATGACTGTTGCGGGACAGAACGACAGGAGGGGAAACTCGGAGAAGGCCCACCGATTATTGATGAGAGCTCATAGCTCTTTCATACCAACCATGCCTATCTTGCTCATGAGCCTCGTGCCTTCTCCGATTCCCCTAGGCTCTGCTTCCTCCTCAGAGGTGGAAGCCTTCCTGGAAGTCTCCAAAGACAGAGCTGCGATTCCGCGACTGCATGCTGCTGGACGCTGCTGGCTAGCTGATGCGGTCCTTGGTTTTCGCGATCGCTTTGCAAGTCCTGTCACCTGCAAAGACTATCACAAGTTGCGCGCGATGCTCAAGGAGCATGGCCCTGCAATCTTACAGGAAGGTCCGCCGCCGACGTTGTTTGACCAGTACGGGCTTCTACAAGGCAACGCAGACAACCTGGTGCTCAGTGACAACTGTTTAGTGGCCATTGACAACCACGTGCAGCACGTCAAGTCTGCATGCGAGGCAAGTTCTGGGATGGAGCCAAGGGCTATTGCTGGCACATTTGCCAAGGTCCTGGAAGAAGCAGCAGCGAATGGCTTGCTAGAACCACCTGCAGCCAGCGTCGAGTTCTTCCATCACATGGTGCGACAAAATACCGGCTACGAGCTTACCACCGCTGCCTTGTGTGAGTTTCGCTTGGGCGTCCTGCATGCGTTGCGGGATCTCGGCTCAGTTCTTGCTTGGGCCGAGTCCTTCCTGGCCGAGCTGCTGGAAGATGCAGAAGCCACCGAGAGCAAGTTTTGGATGGACAACGTGAATTCCATCAACGGCGAGGCTCTGCAGTCACTCGGCGCCGCTCTTTGTGAGACAGCTGCTCCTTACAAGGACTTCCTTGCGTCGTTACCAGATGTCCCGGCGCCATCCCCAGCCGTTGACACTAAAGCTGTAGATGCAAAGGCATCCGAGCCCCAAGCAAGTTCTGAAGCATTGGCTGCAGCACCAGAGCTCTGGGATGCTTTGCCACCAGATGTGCAGGCAGCTCTGCAACGGGAGCCTCCACGTCCTATTCCATATGCCCCAAGGTGAGGGTAAGAGCTTGGATGGTATGGTGCCGTGCAAGTGGTGGACGTCTGTACCAGTGTTCATGTAAGTTCGCATCAAACTGTCAAACGGCATGTGGCAGGTCAAGAGCCGAAAAAGGCTTGCGTTACTATTCTCCGTGGCTCGTAGAATGTAGCTCTGACTGCATGCCGACATTTGTTTTGTTTGAGGAAAGCCCTGACACCCTTTCCGAGCCCTGAAAAGCCTCAGAAGTCCTCGGGGCTTCAGGAACAACCCAAGTCTAGTGAGCGTTTTCTCGGACTTAAGTCGCAGAACTTTAGACCCCAAATCTTAAATCGTGTCATGGCCACTGTGGCTTGACTTTGCCTGGGTTGGACCAAATCCTAAACACAAGTAGGCCTGGGCCAATTCAGTTTCAAAGCCATAGGGAGTTTGGGACCATCATTGGGGTTCTACAATCAGAATCATCAGAATCAGGATTGGAGTATTTTAGGGGTGTAGAAGGGAGGCCCCATTTCGGTGGTTATACAGAGGCAGAAGAGAACATGTTTGTTTGCATAGCTTCCTTGTTGCTTTCTATAGGGAGCTCCTTAAACTTGTCGAAAAGGCAGACTTTGTGAACGTCACAGGTAGAGTGGTGGGGAGCTGTGCGAGATATTCTAGGTTGCTGCTTTTGAACAGGAGTGTCTCGTTTCTTTTTAGGGCCAATTGTCAATTAGGGCTTGAGTAAGTCTAGGACAAGCCTAGCCTAGTGAGTTCTGGACCCTTACAATGTCATCCGAGTGAGCGGCGACTTGATTGCCGGAAAATTCCACGCCCAAGTGCAACTACAAACTCTGCACGCTTTCACCCCCTCAAGCCCTCTGGAATCAGTGACTGGCGAACCGGGAAAGTACATCATCACCCAAACCTTATAAACTAAACCCTAAGGAGTGAAAGGCTCAGCCGTAAGGCATTCCGGAGGCTCGTGAGCCGCTGTGCAAAGGTCCTTGCATTAGGAACCCCGCAAAAAATTGAAGATAGTAGTCCCCATAATACCCTTTTAAGGAAGTTTTTTTTTTTGTTTTTTTTTTTGGGGGGGGGGGGTTCTGCCCACTGTACTCCTTGAGCCCTGTAATCCCGAAACACCCTTTTTCAATTGTTTGAGTTTCCCTAAACCCTTACCGTCCAAAGGTGACTTCGCTAACCCAGAGGCAGAAACCTGCTTCCAGACAGCACAGGACAGTAGGGCTTCGGGCATAGCCGGTAGCGTGCGGGCTACTAAACTATTTGACATGCAAACATATATACATGTATTCCTATAGATCGATACAGACAGAGAGAGAATTGTCATGATCATACAGGGTTATGAAGAGGTCATGCAGGGTTTGTGCTGTCAGTGGTGTATTGGGCTGAGGGCTTGCAAGGTACTACGGTGTATAGGGTGACAAAGGGTTGCGTAGGGTTTAGTTTGGGCTCTGTTGGGATTGTGAGCCCCCTAAACTCACAAGCCCCCCAAAGCCGCAAGAACCTTCATTCCCTTTCTTTCGCAAGTTCGGTTCCCTTGTAGAGTCAGTTTCAAGAAGCGGAAACACCCGAACCATAAGATTACAATGATACTGACATGAGACTCATGGCTGTGCAGCAGGATTCAGAGCTACAACTCTAAAACCGTTGAATCCGAAACCTGAAACCCGACTGTGGGCATTCGACGATTTTCTTTTCAGGGTTTGGGAACCGCGCCAGGCCGCTTGCCGAAAACCTCAGCACAGAACGCCTACGGCATCAAGTTCACCTTAAGATGCTGAAGCGCCGAAGACCGAACTCCCCAAACTCGGAACATTTGAGGTTGGCTGTCCTGCCTCTTCCAATCGCTCTGGCACTCGGTGGTATTTCACCAGGCAATGAGGGTCACAGGCTTAGGTTCACAGCTTTGGAGGATATCATGGCTTGGTTTAAGACGATGTTTAAGTCTCATGACTCTTGTCAGCACTGGGCCTCTGTTTCAACGGCGGGTGAAGGTGCTGGAAGATCCTTGAGTTTTGGTTGCGGAGAACCCTAAACCCTACACCCTAAACCCTAAACCCTAAACCCTAAACCCTAAACCCTAAACCCTAAACCCGGCCTCTGCCACGCCGGCAGGCTTTCGACCAGCACTTGCGCTTGTCGGACCAGAGACTAGGGCCCGAGGACCGGATTCCATGGACTGTTATGGTTTTTGAGTTTCGGGTATGGGTTTAGGGTTTAGGGTTTAGGGTTTAGGGTTTAGGGTTTAGGGTTTAGGGTTTAGGGTTTAGGGTTTAGGGTGCCAAAGTCAGAGCTGCAGAGTTTAGGGGTAGCAAAGCATCCCAAAAAACTCCAAGCCTCAATTTCGGCGAACTCGGTCTGTTGTGAATTTGCATCTGCAGGAGCACGTCCTGGCCGCACTACAGGCATGACCCTCCCTTCATCCGAACGGAATGACAAGGATTCTGTGTCATTCGGGATGAAGCCATTTGCGGGGACCCTGCACCTAGAACCCTTCAGTCATAATTAAAAATCTGCCATTGCCTAAGGCTTAGAGGGGGTCATCCCCAAGATCGCCACACGGAAGGTCTGAGGCAGTTGTTTGGCAACATGGTGCATGGCAACCCCTGCAAAAGATCCAGACTTTCATGGGGAACAGGAGGGGTGGCGGGAGCTTCGGGAGACGTAAACCCTCCATCGTATCAAACTTTGGATGTTCGAGTATGCTGAAGCACTGAAGGCTTTGGGAGCAGGCGACAGTTGTATTGAGAGAGAGAGAGAGAGAGAGAGAGACCGAGACAGAGAGAGCGAGCCATAAGAGCTCTGAGCCTTTCCTGGCTCCCACGGTGGCTTCCATGAAGCTGGAATTACAGATCCCAAATCCCGAAGAAGCTACGGGCAGTTGCTCTTGGCCGCAAGGCCACCTGGGCCGAGTATGGAGCCGCTCCGGGCGTCTGGGTTTCGTTTACCAGGGCTCCCTTTTTCCATGTAACTCCAATTACCTGCAGTTTAATTTAGCAGTAATTACCCCTGAATGAACCCATAAAACTGTAGGTACTTGGGGTTTCAGTCAGCTGGGTGAGGATTTGACTTAGCTTTGAGACGACTCGTGGGGAGGCTTTGCTTTTGGTCCGACTGGGGACAGGGGTACTGGGATTTACTGGGTAGGGTACCAAAGCAAGGTCTTTGTTCCACAAAAATCTTCGGAGTTGTGCCACTGCCCAGAGCCTAACACCGCTGAACCACCAAAAGCACATTCTTTCAGCTGCTCTTCCCCCTGAAACGAAGTTTTCAGCATAGTTTCACACCACATACCAAAACTAATAATTCGAAAGCCCCACACGGCTCACAAGATATGAGGTGATGACAGTGGTGCCGAGCGGCCCGTGCCCGAGAGCCAGGTTCCCCTGGTGCCTGCAGCAGGCAGCGGCATTCTACGGGGTGTGGGAGATTCTCGTCATTTGGGAAGGTCGAGGGTTTAGGGTTTAGGGTTTATGGGTTTATGGGTTTATGGGTTTATGGGTTTATGGGTTTATGGGTTTATGGGTTTATGGGTTTATGGGTTTATGCAAGCAGTCTGCGGACACTTCGGACGAAAGATTCGGACGAAGAAAATAGCGAATTGAATTAATGAGATTGAAAGAAAGAGCGATGGAATATCCAGTGCAGGTGTCAGTGCCTGCCTTTCCTGTAATAAGCATTCCAAATTGCCTGGAGCGGTGCCTGCTGTATGGCACACGGCGCAGGCGTTACATGTGGGTCAAAGCGTTTCCTCAGGAAACTGCCAAGTGACAAACCATGAAGTTGTTTACTCAAACGCTGCCTGGACTGTACGAAACAGCGAGAAGGCATTGCAGACAGTGATGGAACATGCTGTGCATGGCCTACATGAGAGAGAGATTTGCATCTCAGAAAAGTAACTGGTATCTTGCAGCAACTCACAACTGTCTTGAGAGCATGAAGGAACGTTGTGATTTGTTTTGAGAGCACCTGTCTGGCAAAAGCCAACTCAGCATAATCAGTTTCATGTAGCCACGCGCTCGGTGCCGTGGAGCGCCATTTCAAGGGCAACTGGTCCTGTTTCCATGCTCCAACATTGATTGGAACCAGCCATCCACAATCTTCAACAAAAGCCATATAGAGCTCGCAAATACTAATGCCAGCAGGACATTCAGTCCACTCTCCATTTAGGAACCCAGCCAAAACATGCAAAAACCGCGGGCACATCAGTGACGCTCCGAAGTCAACATGGCTTGTTTGCACGACAAAAGTTGCCTGAGAACCCTGCTCATCCAACGGCTCTCGTGTTGCAGCTAGCTCCAGGGCCTGGTTATCGTTCTGGTTCGTTCCAGCAGCCTCCAGGACATTCTTTTGCAGCTGGAAAATGTTGGCTGATGTGTGCTGCAAACGCCGATACTCCTGCACTGCCCGTTTATATAACTTGACTTGCAATTCAGGCCTGTCAGCATTCGCCAGTTTTGCCCTCCTATCGACAGCGTCGTTGTGGAAAAAGCACCACGCCTCCAAATCATGCGACGCTGTCGTCAGCTCTTTGTGGGAATGCACATGTTTTATCACCCAGGTCGCTGGAGACTTTGTTCGCCAGCAGTTCCAAATGCGTCTCCAAACAGCCGCTTCTGCCTGATTTGACCACCAAACCTCATTCCAACCTTCAGACTGGAGTCGATGCAAACCTTGAACCACTGAAAGGTTATCGATGTAAAGGTACGCATGTGTTGCACGCTGAATGGCTGCCAGAACTGCAAACGCTTCTGCGCGATAATTCGTCTGCTCTTCAGGCACCAATCCACGGTCAACTTCAACGAACTCAAACGAACCTTGTTTGGCCCAAGTGACTGCCCATGCACTCTTAGGCAGCACGTCCAAACCATTTGTTGAACCATCAGTGAAAAGATGCACTGTTTCACGGAACATGGTTGCAAAAGCTGGCCACGGGATTTGTGCAACATGATCGTACCACTCCTGTATGGCTAAAGGCAACTTAAACAATCCTCGCTCATTTTGCAGAACAGGGCCTTGGCTCATCTCTGCGATTGGAAGACCATTGCGACAACTGACGAGGTGGTTGCACTCAAAAAGTCTATGTCGTTGAGAGTCCCATCCTCCACAGTGCCTGCATCTTTGTTCTTGCTCATTCAAGAAATGCTTTTTGCGCTCACTAAAAATAGCCGCGCCAGACGTGAAGCTTCCAAGGACCTGTGGGGCCTGCTTGGATTCTTTGCGCAATCTTTTGGTAAGGCACCAATCAACAGCACCTATCATATGTAGCCCATCCTTCTCAGATTGAGCCTGCGCAATGACCTGCAGCCACTCCTGGTGCAATCTTTCATCGATTTTAGCCCTGTCCTCAAAAGCCAACGAAAGTTCATCTTTGGCTGTCTGTACCTGAAAATCTGCAAGCGGCTGCCAACGAACCTGTCCCAAAAAATCAAAGAGATACTTTAGCGGTCCAGAAGCCTTTGGGTTGTTAATAGCCCGATTCCATCTGCGCAATGTGTTGTCTTGATCTCTGGCAACTGCCCTACGCAATGTCCTCACTCGACTCCAGAAAATGATGAAGAAAGGTTCATACTCTGTGGCTGTTCCGAACAGAGGCGCCAGATGGTGGCTTCTCTGAGACTGCTTTCCCCAGATCGCCACATTGAACTTTCCCCTGAGATTGGAAACAAAAGACTTCGAGGTAGAAGCGAAGGTAGATCCATACAAGACAGAAGGCACTACAACTCGCGTTAGAACCTGACTCTTTCTGCTGGCAGCCCACGGCATTAATCTCAGTCGATCAAGCTTGCTCAAATTGCCCTGCAACCGCTCATTCATCTTGCTTGCTGTGCATCGAAGGGTCGACGTAAAGACAACCCCCAAGTCTTGCGTAGCACTAACAACGTTGAGCGGCTCGTCCTGGAAAGAGCTTTGCCGGCAATTCTTTCTGGCACGAGCTGTCGTAGCAAGAACTTTTGTTTTGTCTGGGTTCAAAATCAGCGCCAATCCATCTGCTGCCTGCTTCATCCGGGAAAGGATAGCCACCACTGTTTGTGTCTCCGGGGTCAAGACTGTCCAATTGTCAACGAACGAAATCATGCGGTTTGGAGTCTCTGGCGGCGCAATGAAGTTTGTAATTCCCCAGGTGACCATTATCATGATTGGCACTGCCACTGGACAACCCTCTGGAACTCCAATCTGACTGTACGTTGGCGCCCAGAGCCCTCCATGGATCTTGAAATATCTGCGGAGCTTAGAGAGCGCATGCAAGTATAAATCCGTGAATTTTGTTGGCCAACCACAACGTTCTGCCAATAAACGAATCAAGTCTCTGGGAATTGTGTTGTAAGCTTTACTGAGGTCAAATGATATCGCGGCCAACGCACTTCCCTCTTCCAAAGCTTCTTCGATCGTCGCCTGCAATTCCCACGCGGCATCTTCTGTGCTTCGGCCTGGAACACTTCCGAAGAGGTCTTTTGGGAGTGCTCCAATAATGTTCTTGAAGATTTTTTGCGCCATCGTCTTGGCCCATACTCTGTAAATTGTAGGCAGAATTGTTATTGGTCGCCCATCTTTAGGGTGCGCAGGCTGTTCCACCTTCGCCAAAAGAGCAACTGATGCCTCTGCCAGAGCTGTGGGCCATTGAGTTGTATGCAACGCCTGGTTGAAAAGCGATCGTAGCATCTCAATCTCGTCCGCATGCAACAGACGCAGTTCCACATTGCTCCACCCATCCATACCTCTAGCTTTTTGAAGGGGAAGACGGCGTATGACATATTCAAGCTCATGGAACGAAATCTCTGCGTCAAAAATCTGCTGCTGTGGGATGCCCTGAGAGATCTGTCGCATCCACCTCTCCTCTGGCCGTCTCTGCGCGTTCCAGAAACTATTCCAGAAGTCCTGAACCTTTCCAGCAACGAAGCTTGAATCACAACACCAAGTTTTTTGAACAGCGGATTTCTTCGTCATCTCAATAGATGCTGGCTTGTTCAGCACCACCTTATTAGACCGGACTGACACAACCTTAGCTTCTACCTTTCCAAAAACCCAAGTTGCTCCAGGTCGCACAAGGTCTGGATTCGTGACTGTAAACGTAGCTGCCTCTTCCTTGCGTGCTCGACAAAGCCGAATGTCCAGCCTTTCTTCTTTTTGCAAACAATCTAATGTGCCGAAGTTGCTGTCCTTGATTGAAGCAGCATGAAGCTTGCCGCCTTTCTTCCAGTCTGCCAGGAAAGTCTGCATCTGTGTATGGCGCTTCTGTTTAGTAACTAACGCCTCCCACCTTCTCGCTTCTTGCTCCATGAGAGCAAGCATCAGGTCCAGAAAACCCACTTCAGGAACACTCAAAGGCACATGAACGCATATATCACTATCCATCAGCCAAGTTGCGAAATCTGGCGCAAATCCCGGGGCTTTGAGAATTTTGGTCCACAAGAGAATTTGTTTGGCAGTGTCTTTTTGGCGTTGTACCAGAAAGAAAAGCTCCCGACACCAATTCAACACTTGAATCCGATGACTGAACACAATGCGATCTGAAGCCAAATCACCCTTTGACGATTGTGTCACCGGCTGCACGCGCGTATTTTGAAGATGCCCTTGTCCTCTTCCAAAGAAACGGGCGTCAAGCTGGTTCGATGTAATTCGCTGAGAAACCATGTCCAACTTATTCTCAAAAGCCTCGTTGAAACACACGAAAGCCTGGTCGATGCCTTCTTGTTGTAAAGCTTGCAAAAATCGCTGCTGCATTGCGTCATCACAGGGAGTCTGCTTAAGGCTCTCATGAAGATGTGAGAGTTGCGCCACATCCAACGGCATAGTCCACGTTGGGACCTTCGTGGGGACTGCCTTCCAGTCGAAAGTTGCTGTAAGTACAGCATGGTCAGAATAGCCCTTTGGATTTACATGGAGGCTCTGGAATGCATGCGCTGCTGCCACATTGGCTACGATGTAATCCAATCGAGTTAGCCCTCGATATGTTGGTTCAGGAGAATCAGTAACCCCCAACGCCTGTCTGCAAGCCAGATCAACAAAGCCCAGTGTCCTAGCTTTGTCCCAAGCAGGCAACGCAGCTAAGTTGCAATTAAAGTCACCCAAGACTAAGGTGGGGATGTGAAACCGAGAGGCTTGACCGAAAGCATGCGCCAGTAATTTGTCGTTTTTGGGAACAGCATCAATAATACCAGCGTGAAATCCATACACTGCAATAAGTCTGACCTGCATGTTGCCGACAGAAATGACTGTGTCTGCAATACGTGCTGTCTGAAATACCGCCACCTCCCAGTTGGATGAAAGGTTCAGCATAGGACTTCGTGAAAACACCAGTGCTCCTGAGGCCTCCACTCTCCCACCCTTGTCCACACATTTTCTCATTGCCGGCGATGGAGCTGACAGAGCAACATGGCATCTCTTCGCCCGGGCATAGCGTAGAACACGTTCCTGTGTAAGTCTTGTAGCTGCCGTCTCAGTCCATACAATGCAATCTGCGTCAAAGAGCGCATCATCCAGATGTTTGCTTGCCGAAACTATATTCTGCAATTTGACTGTCCAAGGCCCTGGATTACTAGCCTGGCCCACACATATACCATTCAAAAAGTTGAAATCCTCACAAAGAATTCGCAGAAAATATAACCCATAGCTGATTGAAGAGACTGGCTTCAAGCAACCAAAATATCGTTTGCTCTTCTTTCTCTCGTCATGCCTGAAATCTTGGTGCGTGCAAATACTAAAATTAACGAAGGAGATCGGAAGCGATCTTGCCTGGGAATCTTTCAGACCACAACCACTCTGCACTGCAACAAAATACAAAAGCGATCCGGCAAAATGACCATCATTAACTTCTGTCTTGAGCAGTAGTGGCTTGGGCCCTGCTAGCTTCTGCCGACATCACGCCAGACGTGAAGCTTTTGATTCATGGTTCGGAGATGCATCTGGGGACCGCTTCGGGCACGCTAGCATGAGGCGGATATCCTTTGTCTGTGCCTCCATCGCTTGGCGAAGAGACTCTTGAAGGTCCAGCTTGGTGACCATCGTAGAGGACAAGCTTTGCATCGAGGATTCAATGCCCTGGAGCCTGTGCTCGTGCTGGAGGAAGTTCGACTGAAGTTCCATCGAAGTGGCGGCGGCTTGGCTTTCCACCTCCTCGACCCTTCTGTTCACTGTGTTGACCGCGCTCTGCATCTGTGACTGCAAATCCTGCAATCTCCCATTGATCTCCTCTTTGAGGTCCGAGAAGAAATTGGTTGTCGGCGTCCGCATGACAGCATTTCCTCCCATTGTAGCGTCTTGCGCAGAGAAAGGGACTGCTGTTTGCACCGGGAGTTTTCGAGCCACCCTCTCTTGGAAATGCTTTCGGAAAGACGACGAAGCAGCAACCACCACCTCCTGTTTCCCTGTTGGCCTTTTTTGGGCCTGTTCCGTGATGAGCACCGGCTGATTGGCAAACTCGAACGTATCTGTAGGCGGAGGATCACTAGGGCCGGAACCCACCAACCACGTGGACATTGCAACCTGCTTGAGCGGCACAGCTTTCCAGTTGAGCTTTGAAAGAATCTGCTGCACCAAGGCCTTGTCTGTCTCGTTAGGGAGTGGCGTCACGAGCCACCGCCTAGAAACAACGATGTCCGTGAGAATGCCATCTGGAGCCCAGTTCGGGTCGAGCTTTTTGCGTAAAAGGGAATAGTCCCCCGCTCGCGTTCTCAAGCCCAATGACTGCTTTCCTCGCACCACTCCAAGAAACTCTTGATGCAAACGAAGGATTTTTGACGCCTTGTCGAGGTCGGTGTGGTCGAGCCAGACCACTCTGTAGTTGCCTGACGGCACTCCGGAGTCCGCATCCTTGGGTGTGAAGAAGATTCCTGCCTTGCCTGACATAGCCAGGAAAATTTCCAAGTTGGCTGCATGGATTTTGATGAAGGCATGCCACGATGTAGCATGTTCAGGAGAAGATTCGCGTCTACCCTGGAAGAACTTGCGACTCCATGATGCCACTGTAGCCTTTTGAAGACCATCTATGGCTGCCCACACATACTTCATAGGATTCTTGGCCGCTTGCGTCCAATCCTGCACATACTCTTTTCGCAGCTCAACGGAAAGGATAGCCACGTCATTGACCTGAATGTTGATGGAGTGCTTGGGCGCTGCCACCACCACTTGTCGACTACCAAAGTCTATGAGAAAGCCCCTCAGGAGGACTTTGTTGTTCTCGGTGAGCGCAGGGAACGTGATCTGTCGGCAACTTAGAGATCCAACTGCCGGCTGGACAGTGCCAACCATGACCGCCCCAAGCTCATCTTCTGACAGCAAAGATTCCACTGCCGCCATGGACTCAATCTCCTCCTGATCCACCATTGCAACACCTTTGGCCTCCGCTGTGAGATGCTGCAATATCGGCAAGGATTCTCCATCCACATCCTGGAAGTGGCCTGGGACCAGCGTCACTGTCAGAGGCGAGGCCGCTGTAACTCCAGTCTCGGACTTGGATGAGGACGAGGCAGTTGAGGTGCTCCAAGGGTCTCCATGGATCCACGGGTCCTCTTTGACCTGCTTGGATGTTGTCCTTGCTTGTTTTAGTTCTTGCGGCAGAACCATTCGCACTCGGTTGCCAGCAGCTCCCTTCAGGGCCTTCCACGGATCCAAGGAAGCATAAGCTGCTTCCACAGCTGGGTGTCCGACCACCTCAATGATTTTTGTGGCTCTTTCAGTTGCAACTTCACCCGGGACTCCCTTCTCGTGCAAGTGCGCTGCAAGTTTCTTGACCAGGCCATCCGATCTGGTTGTCGGCTTGCCTCCACCCCGCAAGCGCAAGCGAAGTCTAAGCAAGACCGGGTCATCTGAGAGGATGTAGTCTCTTGCAACGTGTCGGCCATCGATTGTGGCCCAGAGATCTTCAGGAACTTCAAGATTGAAGGACTGCAACCACTGTGGCCAAGTCATCCCCGAAGTTGGCGGTGGCAACGGGTGGAACTTGCAATCCAGGACCGAAACATATCCTGAGAACGACTTCATGGCATTCGTTGCCATCGCATCTGAGTCATGGTCGACATTAAAGGCGACTGCACAGTCCGGCACATGTTTGACCTCCGCATGCCATCCACCCGTGTAGCCTCCAGACAGGTCTGCAACCTTGAACTTGTTCACTGGCAACCGATGCCCAAGGACTTGAATGCAACCAGAAGCAGGACCATTCTTGGGCAGCTGCAATCTCCACAGCATGTCTTCTTCATTCCATTCTGGGCAGAGACTACCAAAGATCACGTACAACTGGCCTGGCTTGATGATCGTGTTCTCGGCATGCTCCACCATGATGCATTCTGTCGTTTATGGGTTTAGGGTTTAGGATTTAGCGGCGGGTGGGGCCGGGGGGGGCGTCAGCTTGAGGGGGTTCAGCTTGGGGCCTTGTTTTCGTATGTCGGGTGGATGTGTTGCTAACCTGCTCCAGCTCTTGCGATTGGGAGCTGTCGACTTTGCCAGCTCTTTTGAAGATCGACAAAGCAGAGCTCGGGCAGCGAAGTTTGCCGAGCTACCGAAAAGCCGGGAGACGCCCCCCACCCCCCCACAGCATCTTGACCTGTTTGGCCCCTGTGGTGTTGGGAAGCCTGAGCTTCCTGAACCGTTGCCACTGAAGAGTGAATGCCGAGTTGGCACAACGAACAGCAGCTAAGTGCTCCATGCCTTCAAGCTAAAAGTTGAAGAAAACCCGGCTTCTGACGAATTGACGATGTGGCAGGTCTCGCAGAGGCGTTTGGCGAAGGCATGGTTGAGCTTGGTTTCGAAGGGCTCATTGCCATAATGAGCTGTTTGTATCAAAGATTATCAAAGTGAATCCTCCAATCTCGAGATTGCCTCTGCCGCTTTTTGAGCATGCGCATAATGACGCCCCGACTTTGATCCCTGGACCCTACACCTTCCTAAGCTGGCAAAACGGCACTTCGATTCCTACGGCCATTGCAGGCTACGGGGACATGTCTGAGGCTCTTGCTCGCATCCAGGCTTGGGCACAATCCAACCGAGTCCAGCTTTGACTTCTATCGAGTGAGTTCTCAGGCAGCTTCGCATAGCAGGTGCTTTTGAAAGGACAGTGAGATCTTGAGGAAGTGTGAGGCTTGCAAATGTCAAGGAGGGGATGCATGGAGCCAGATGCCTAATCGGGGGCATTGGGCAGGATGAGCTGTCCGGATCCGGCAGCCCAGAAGCCGTGGCAATCGCAGACCGGCAGCCTGGATCGCAGAGAGGGGATTCGAGGCTTTCCGGAGCTCAGTTCAAGGCCGAAAGGACGGATGGTTTCGGCAAACATGGCGCTAATTTCGATATTTCAGAGGCCGACCCCTCCCTACAGAAACTCCATGGAAAAAACTCCGATAAAATGCGACTGAAGACTCAGGATCGTCTTGGTGCCGCTTTGCGGCTCTCCGGGCGCCTGGCCGGGCCCGAAGGAGGCGGCAGCCCTGGCAGAGGCATCTCCTGGAAGTCCAGGTCTCCCAGTGTGGGTTTGAAGCGTTTCTTAGGGCTTAGGGTTTAGGGTTTAGGGTTTAGGGTTTCAGTGAAGCTGCTTCTACCGAGTGTTACCAACTCCGGGCGAAGTGGCAAACCTGTTGCAAAAGGGTTTCGGGTTTTCTTCGGGTGTTTTTTCATTTTTGTTCGTAGTCTTGGTATGTCAGACACGTCGGAAGTAGAGTTCCATCATCCAAACCCCACATCGTACGGGGGCGCTGCAGGCTAAGGCTTTCCTAAGCATCCCTCTGTCCTGGAGTCTGCATAGGGCTCCGGCTTCCTACTCAAATGCCTTCCTTTTTTTCATAAATAAATCCGAAAAAACCCGAAAAAGCAACTCAGGGCCCTTTGACAGGAGGTGCCTTTTGTGTGCATCCTGAGAATCAGCTCTGGCAGGAGTGGCAAATTGCGCACTCTCCCTTGCTAGCCGTGGCCGCTCGTCCACAATTGAGAAGGCACATGGCGGGATGTTTAGTTGCCTTGTAACCTGGGTCTTTACATAACTATCGCCTTACAGCCGGAACGTCGTAAATCCCTCGCGCCAAAGCACGGAGCATTCTTCGCGAATGCCTGTTCCCAAGCCGACACGTAAACCCTGAACCTTCTACAGTCCGCAGTGCCTTGTGGTTCCGGGATTCGAGTTGAGAGATCTCGAGCACTGCTGAGGACTTGACCTTTCCCGCGCCCACTGCAGAAGAGTGCCAGCTGTTGGCGGAAATGTGGGTGCTCGGTGGCCAAGAGGCCACCGGACTTCATCCCTTTCAGTTCGACAGTGAAATAGACTTGAGGTGCTATTCCGGCAACATTTTGGGGCGTGAAGGGTGTCGGTCTTCGAGTGCCGAAGCAGACTTCCTGAGAAAGAGCAGTGTGTGGAACTGGCCCTGTCCAGGCTGCTTCACAAGAGAGCAGCCAGTCAAGCGCAGCGGGACCCGGTCTGGGCAGTCATCGCTTGGTAGCCTTCGTCTGCTTCATGCGGCTCGGTGCAAGGTCAAAGCAGTTAGCCCTAAACTAAGCCTTTTGCTCAAGCTCTAGATGACCTAAGTGCTTCGGCTTTACACAGAGGGTGTGGACATCACAGCTGCCGTAGTTTTTTCAGGAAGAAGCTGGGGCCTCTTCGTTGGAGCTCACATCAGCAACCGCAAGAGAACGTGCACCGCAAGAGAACGTGCACGCAGCTCCCTGCTTAATGCAGCAGTGACAATCACAAGAGTGCGCTGCTCCGAGAAATTCGTCGCCACCTATGCGTCTAGAGTGGATCGTTGAGGTTCTTGCTGCAGTGAAAGTTCTGGGAGCACATGAACCGGCTCCATCTCCTCCCCTAGAAAAGCAAGACCGGCCCTGCTGTAGCTGTTTACACGCTTAGCATGTGCCTATCCGTGCTCACCCAAGGTGGCATTTGCGTCACTACGTCGCCTTCTGCTGCAGGCAGCGGGACCCCAGCAGCTGTAGCTCGGCAGAAAGCGCCCTTTGAGCACGTTCCTGATTTTGTGCGACTCAGAGCAGTGTCCCGCGCCAATGTACGCCAGTGTTCCGAAGTTGTTGGCGTCTTCGGCTGTCATGCCGCTTCCCAAGTGCCAACTCTGACATGAAATCGCACATGTCCCCAAAACGACTCCAAACCCCCCCAATCCCACGGCGACCCCGACATCCTGCCATGGACAGCAGTCTGCAGCCAGTGCCCTGGCTGGGGCTGCTGGCCGCCACCCTCGCGGCGATGCTCGCTGCCTGGATCGCCTTGCGCCGTGCCGCGCGGCTGCGGCGCGAGGGGCGCTCGGCGCTGCAGCTCCTGTCTCGGATGCCACATGGGCCCTGCAAGGCGCTGTAAACGAACCGCTGGCTGTGTTTTCCGGTTTTTGTGACAGTTATTTCGAAGTGCTCTGGCCATTCGCACGCACTGTGCAAGCTTCCAGCACGCATTCTGCGCAAGAAGACTTCTCTTTCTCACACACGCGCACGCGCACGCCCGCACAAACCCACAAGCTCGCAAGCCCGCGAGCCCACGAACCCACAAGCCCACACGCGCGCATGCCCACAGCCAACAACACAAACACGAACAAAAACACGCCAACACAAACACAAACACGCCAAACTCCAACACCGGCGCCGATGCCAGCGCCAACGCCAATGCCAACGCCCACACACGCACGCACTCACTCACTCACTCACTCACTCACTCACTCACTCTCTCTCTCTCTCTGCCTCTCTCAGTCCTGCCAGGTGCTGTCAGGGTTCCTGGATCTTCCGCAGCTGGAGGTTTGGCAAAGCTTGGGAGAGTTTAGGGGCTCTCATCAGAATTTGAGGGTGTGGGGGGGGGGGGGGGTTTTCTGTAAACCTGAAATGGGAGTTGGGCTCGGAACTGCAGGGCTCAGGTTCCGCGTGTTGCGAAAACGCTGCCGGCTCCGTGCTTTGAGAAGCTGCAGTCGCGTCCGAGAACTTCTGGGGGGGGCCACTGCAAACCCTCCGAACTTCCCCAAACCCCCAACTTGTTCGTCTCGAAGTTCCGGCCTCCAGGTTCTTGCTGAGCTGCGCCCGGCCTGGGACTTTTCAACGGAGCTCCGGCTTGCAGAGCGAGCCCTCGAGCGCCAAGCTTGCTTCTTGGTGGTAAGAATACTATCTCCCGTAAAATTGAAGAAGCCGGCCACTCGTTTTGAGCCCATGTTTGGGTTGGGGGTGGGACAACCACTCAAGTCATCATCACCCGGAACTCTGAGAAGTCTGTCCTTTAAGGCAGCCACCCGGATGTTCTTTGCTACAAAACGCCCTGAACCCCAGCTACCGTGGGGTTCAGCAGAAAAGAGACATCCCAAGAGTCTCATGGCAGTGGCAGCATGCCTGAGGTTGGGCCGTGCTTTGCGGCAGCGAGGTCTTTCAGCCTTTCGGATCCACCAGTAGCTTCAAGCTTCATGCCGCTTGGGCCAGGAATGCTTGGGATCGAGGCATGACCCAAGAGTTTCGGGGACCGGGCCCACGGTTGTATTGCTGATTCCAAGCCCCGCACGCCGTAAGGATGACACCCCAGATGTGAGGGTCGAGGGGCTCACATTCATGACTTGGACTGACTGGAGCCAAACTTGAAAAGGCAAGGCTTCGTGTAAAGTGTGACCTGTCCTCACCTCGAGCCTCAGGTCCTGCGCAAGCAGCTCTCACAGACGGTCGTGTGCTCTTGCACGGAACTGTCTGTAATCACCGCGGAGAGCACGGGCAAGAGCACCCTGGCTTTCTGAGTTTCAGCCTGGAGCCGACAGTCTAGTCAAAGGGGTGTTCGGGTTTTACAGTTTTTGGGTTTGGAGTGGCACCAACTCCCAGCGAAGTGGCAAGCCTGTTGATTTAAGGGTTTTTCGGGTTTCATCAGGGTTTAGAGTGGCTGTTCTTGACCAGCGCTTGTGGCTGCATTGCGCAGCCAAGGAAAGATTATGCTTGGGGACATTTGGTACGACGCCATGACCCAGGAGCCCGCCCTTTTGCACACTTGTTGAACTTCAAAGGGTCCACTTCTGGAGATTCGGGCCTATAGGCTCCCCCCCCCCCCCTTAGGCGGCTGGACCGAATGTTAGAATTTGGGCGGGGAGGGTTCTTGTATTGGAAGCAGCGATTCGTCTAAGCCACGGCCGCCTAAGTTCTGGAATGGCCCACTGCCCATGACGCCCCCATGTAATGCCGCAAGCACGTGTCTGAAGGTCTGGGCATCTTGTGAGGTCGACCAGCTTGTGCAGTCCTGCTGCCTATATCAGATCCAGTCAGGTGTTTTCATGATGGGGAGTCGATATTAAACCCTATAAACCCTCAACCCTCCTTGCCTGCCTTGTGCGAGACTAAACCCTAAACCCTAAAACCACTTGTAGCATCGAACCCTAAACCATCAGCCCCGAGAGGCGATGGAGAAAGATGTCCCGGTGCTTCAGTGGTTCGCGGCTCACCTAAACTTGCGCGTCGTAGGCATTGGTGGGCCTGGACGACCAGTGCAATCACATTAACAACATTCTGTTGATGGCAACTTACAAGGAGTAGTTGAATTAATCTCAGTGTTAGCATGTCGCATGGGTTAGGTAGGGTTCAGTGGGGAGTTGCCTAAGCTTTTCCTGCCCAGGGCCACATTAAGGCGTTCCCATCCCGGTATACTGTGGGGTCTCTGCCTGCAGAGCCTTGCGCGTGCAGTCGCATCTTTCCGAAACCCTGCTCTTGACACCAACCTGCTTTTTCGGATTCGGGATACGACCGTGCGTGCAGAATCCGAAGCCACGGCCCCTTCAACATGCACCTCAACCAACCCAGACCTTCTGCCAGAGGTGGCAGACCGCCAGGAGCTTGAGGGCTTCACATCCCTAGGTCAGGTCTTCCTTCGACTTGCGGGTCGGGTAGTTCCAAGAGAATGTAGTCGGATTTGGGGTGACTTTGGGGGGCCTTCCGAGCCTCGTGATTTTGACAGCTGTAGAGCACGTGTATGCATAATGAAGTCACACGGCTTTGGATTGGGGCTCTCGAGTGTTGAGCTTCGGTTATTAAGCAGTTGGCTTACGTGCCCCTTCTTGATGCAAGGGGCTGCAATTAGAGGCTCGAGAAGCGTTTCCCAGCAGGAGCTCCCTAGGACTGCGAGTTCCACATGCACAAGCTATCTTTGCCCTAAATAAGCTCGACCTCACTTCTTGGTAAGCCAGAAGGTGTCCCCCCAGCCAGCGGCTCTTCAGACCCGCTCTGCCCGTAGGAGCCCACCGCCGTGAACGGCGACACTTGGCACGGCGCGGCTCAGGCCCTCGGTACCCTTGGAGGCCAGCGGGGTCGCTGTTGAGGACATTGCCTGACTTTTTGCTTCAGGGTTTGGGAGCACCCTCATCCAAAAGGCCGTGACGTGTCGAACCTTAAGGTGGCACAAGAAACCCTTCAAACCATCTGCATTTTTCCTGCATCCACAACCCTGTTTAAGCCAGAGGTTGGCTTGTCAGGAAGGGCTTGGCTTCGAGGGGTTTTGAAGCCCAACCCGTCCTTTGGCCATGCTTCTCCCCAAATCCTAAGGACACACATCTATGAAGCCTCTTCCAATTGTGAATTTCTGGCATGGCTGCAGCACACTTGGGACATGGTTTACGCCGATGGGGCCATGTAGGGTTTGGCTTCAGGCTTCAGGGTTTCGGCTGCATGTTGCCGGGAGCCAATATGTTTGAGAGCCTCTTTGACCGCCGCCCCTAAATCCCTAAACCCTAAACCCTAAACCCTGAACCCTAAACTTTCCCTGAACCCTACAACCCGAAGCTGCCCTCGAAAGAGGTCGCAGCTGGGTCGAGCGGGCCCGGCACCTGAAGATGCGAAAGGCAAGGGGAAGGGAAGGGTTAGGGCAAACATTGTTGAGAAGAGTCTCCACTCTCTCTCTCTCTCTCTCTCTCTCTATAAGATACGTACAGACAAATATATATGTGTGTATATATATATATACGGATAGGTATTATATATATATATATATACATATACACATTGTATATGAGGTTGCCACTGGATGGATACCGTTTCGCGGGTTCTGCGGGTTTAGCAGAATTCAAGAGATGCCTTCTTGGTACATTGATTTCCCTCCATGCTTCGTGCTGTCGAAGAGGATGGGGCGTGGTGCTGTCAAGATGGGGCAGGGAGCAGGGAGGATGACGCGGACCTCACGCCGAAAATGAAGCATAATGTCTTGACCTTGAGGCATGCTGAAGCAGAGATCTCAGGCAACAGGCAAGCCCGGAAAGCCAGCGGATGCACGCTGTGCAGTGCTGGAATATGCTCAGCAACATGCAAGTTCGGAACGCGGGGCGACCAAAAGTGGTTTTGGGGAGTCACTGGTGAAGTCCATCCAACAACCCCCTATCGGGTTTTTGAGTCGGCATCGGTGGCAGACCGAAAGATGTGGATGTCCGGAAGAGATATGAAGGGCAGACCCTTGCGATTTCAGGCGTCGGCTTCATGCAACCTTTTGCATGCCAGTTGGTGACATGACTGAACGTGTTTGGACTCCTGATCCTCTCTGCATGGCGCAGTTCGACTTCAACAACTTCTAGAAAGGAGCCTCTCCTATCCAGAGCATTGCAACCCTAAACTCCTAGAATTCCCTCCTAAACAGAGCATAGCAACCCTCAACTCCTAGAATTCCCGGATTTCTCGCCACAACAGCCTGCCTCCAGACTTCCTGGACCTACAGCTGGTACACTCTGCCGGGCACCCAGGGGCCCAAGATTAGGGTTTAGGGTTTAGGGTTTAGGGTTTAGGGTTTAGGCTTAGGGTTCCTTGGCCTTCCTCTTGCGATTTTAGGGTTCCATGTAAATCTGGAATCTTGCCCAGGACCCTACCGTTATTCCTCGATGACATGAAGGAGGCGGACGCCTTGCTGGTCCAACTCGGCCTCACTGCCAGTTGATGTTAAGATGGCGGAAGCAGTGAATGCATGGCGAGGGGGGCTGCGTGCCTCCACTCGCAGCACTGCAATGTACAGCGATAGCCACTTCGGGTTGCAGGAGGGATTGGCCCCAGAAACGATGCCTGAGCCGCTGAGGCACTTCATGGCTTCTAGCTCGAGCAAGAAACGAATGTTGTCTGAAATCTCTGCTGCAACCTTTGGTTCCGATTCTGGATCGGTTGTTTTGAATTTGGTCTATGGCCCTGCGAGTAGTACTGTAGATAGTTTCGTGAGCGGAAGTGCTTCGACGCACCTTGAAAGGCGAATCAAAGCAGATATTTAGCTCAGCTACGAGAGGCGTGAGGAAGCTGTCCCTGACGCCCCGGCCTCCAAGCCCATATGTCAAACACCTCACCTGGCTGTGGTTCCCTATGGTTTAAGCCTTCAAGACCCCAGTTCCCTAAGTTCTCGAAGCCCTGGGATCCTAGGCAAGACTGTGTGCCCTTAGACTGTTGAGTTCTTGGCTTTTCAGCTGTGCGGGCCGAAGCCCTGAGAATGCTTGCCTTGCACGCGATGCGGGAGGTCCCGTGGCATGAAAAGAGTTCAGAGTTCATGGCTTAGGCGAGGATATCTGCAAGCCTGCTGCAAGAGTCTCAAGGCTGTGGGGCTTCACAGGCATAGGCCTGCAGGCAAAGAGGATGGATTTGCAGAACGGCTGCCGGATTTGCAAAGTTTGACCGTGCAGCTTCGGAGAAGCCGAGCTCGCGAGCTGCAAAAGGCGCCTGAAGTCAGCAACAAAGGGTTTCGATCGATCACAGAGGGCCAACTACAAATACCTTAGTCTGAGCCATGCTTGTGCTAGGCTTGAAGAGGTTTCTTACAGGGGCGCCAGCAATGTCATGTACCTGAAGTGACACCTTGAAATCACCCAGTATAAGTACTGAATGCACGTAACTTCTTCATAGAGGTAGATACGTCGCCCCAGGTAGTCTTGTGACCTGTCCCAAGACCTGTATCACCGCAGCGGCACCCCCCAAACCTTCAAAGCAAAAAATCACCGAAATCGTAAGCCGGGTGTGCGGCGGTAGGGGCATCGTCCTTTGCAGGCATGAGGCGGCGTGTAGTGCTGCTTTGGTCGCTGCCATTCTGTCTGGGTAGTTATTTCTTTTTTCTGGGTCAGCTGCAAGAAGAGGCAGGCCCCGAAACCCCAGCCAAGGCGTCTTCTTTAACGACTTGCCGTGCCTTACGCCCGGTGCTCCCAAAGAACTCGCCTGGAATGATCCGTGGATGATTTCAAGCGGCCGGAGGGCTCTCTGTTTCAGGGCACATGCACCTTACTGTAGGGTTCGGGTGTAGGACATTTTTGGGGTGCAGCTACAACTTTGTCATTCCACCAACCATATCCACTCACAACGGACGAGCACAACTTCAGCATAATCCCCGCCGCTCGAACAAGGAAGTGCCTGAGCTCTGCAGCAAGCACTGCCTGATGAAGCACGGCAGCCTTGGGATTTCCTTACATGTGCCGGGATGGGTTTGGCCTTCGCTTCCTTAAAATGATCTACAACATCAACCTCCCCACCCCCTCATCAGCTAATCCTGCGTACATGCAGGAAGAAAGTTTTGGGGCCTCACAAGTCATATGAAGGGCGCAGAACGTCGCACGGCAGGTTTTGGTGCCCAACCACGCCAAAGTAGGAGTCCGTAGAGCCTGTAGGGCATGATTCAAGACTTCAAGACAGTCAAGTGTGCCCAATTATATGCTAAACTCTAAGCCCTAAACCCTAAACTATGTAAGAGTGAGCGTCGGAAATATGCGCAAGCAGCCGATCTCTTGGCCTCAGCATGTCAGCTAAGGCCTCGTCTCGTACTGCAACATGGCTGCAACAGACAGTCCGCTCTTTTCGTTTGATGGGCATCCATGGTGCCCGATATTATATATATATATATTTTTTTTTATTTTTCATATATTTATTTAATCATATATTGGTATAAATTTAATGTAGTACATCATACAGAGTCTCTGAATTATATCTCCCCGTTTTGATTCAACGGGGACAAGATTCTCCCCCGGGTTCCGGGAAGGTAGAGGGGTAAAGTGAGGTGAACGTCGGGCCCCAGGGCTGAGATGCTTCATGAGGGCCGCTCCAGAACAGCTTGGGCAGGAGGGATTGCGGGGGGGAGAAACAAGAAACCACAGATTTACATAGCCTCGAAAGACCGCGCGAATTTCTTCTCTTCTGCCCAGGTATGAATCGCGATCTGCGGCAGAAGATGCCAGGTCAAGCCTCACTGAGCAGCGAGATCAAGCCGGGCCGAAGCTTTAAGCTGGCCTGAGCCATTGACTACAGGGTAAGTGGATGACATGATTCCGTTTGCTTTTCGCGTGCCAAGGAACGGTTCAACTTAAACTCGGGCAAGGGTCTTTAGAGCTTTCTGGCGTCGAGTTGCAAGATAGCATCATGACCGAGCATGTTGATGTCGTAGGCTACAATTCGCCACTGCCATGGCCCTGCCTCGCAGCCTGGGGGTTGGGGAAGCCATCTCCCACGTTCCGCCGGGGGCAGGGATGGACGGCCGTCCGGTTTCGGACGCCTCGGTGCGCCTGTGGGGGCCCACGAAGAAGGCATCAGCTAGGCCATGCTGGGGGCAAGGAAAGCCGTATCTTGTGGGCTCCTGCGTCGCCTGTGTGCTAATGTTTAATGCGAACTCGCAAGACTAGGCCGCGAGCTGGACCCAAAGCCTTGCCTGCTCGGTCCTTTCGAGACGGAAAAAGTCTCCCGTTGAACAGCCGCGGTGTAAGTGAGAGATGGGTGTGAGCTTCTCGTGTTGGGGGCGAGTCTTGGGTCCACGCAGGAGAAAGGTGAAAGCTCACAGTTTCGACTGACGAGTCGGCCCTAAAGCCCTTAAAACTAAGCCCCTGCCGTCACCCAGGAACAGGCCTTGGATGCCTCCTCTCCAGGCCACCCGATTCTTGACAAGCTCTTGTGATGATGCATGCGCCGATTATATAAGCCTGCTCAGCTGGTTGTTCTTTACGAGGGGCCTTTCCAACATGTTTCTTTCCAAACGTCTTAGACCAGTTCCAGAGTTTACTACCTAGGCGGTGGACATGTACCTTTGAAACGGTGACTCCAACTGGCATGTCACAGATTCCAGAGTCTCATGGCGCGGGTTCGTTGTAGCATGCATGGGTTTTAGGATGCTTCAAGGCTTGGGGGATTGTATGCTTGAAAACAGAGTTGGGGGTTTGGGGTGGTTGACATTCTTGGCCGGGGCGTCGTGATCCCCGGATCCTCAAAGAGGAGCGAAATCAAGCAAAGAATGCTCTTCCTCAGAGCCTCTTTTTGCTGCTCAGATTGTTGCGGCTTACGCATGGGCATCTTACTCGTAGCTGCGTAGCTGTTCGGTCCGCAGTTCAGGAACTCCGACCCAGCCTCAAACGTCAAACAACGCCAACCATGCCTAATCCCAACCTCGCACTCTGCCTTTGACGATGCAGGCAATGCGCAGTGGACCCGTCAGAGCTTTCTACGGCGAGGTAGTCGAAGGACGGTCCATGGGGAGCTGCAATGGGCATTGGCCTCTGGGGCAGAGCCTCAGTGGCCCCTTCCCACATTGGGGGCACCTTCTTGGGGTCCTTTTTTATGAGGGAACCCGATTATTTATGGATCTAAATTGGGGGTCCCCTATCTTCGTAAACCTCCAAATCGAGAGTGGAGGCCTCTCCACACCCCAGCAGAGGACACGGGCAGAGACACCCAGCCGTGCGGAGGGCACGGCAGCGGTTGCGGAGGAGGCCAGGATTCGAAGACAGCTTCTGTGAAGGGGTGCACGAAAAAAATCAGGGCACCCCTAAGATAGCCCCAAATAGTAGGATTCTCCCTTCTCAAGAAGGACCCCAATAAGGTGTCCCTAATGTCGGAAAGCCCCACTTGGTTATGTTGCCTTCTAGGCTTGGGAATCAACGGCTGCGGCCTGATGCAGATGTCGGTCCCTCCGACCTTCTGAAGAACTTTAGGGTTTAGGGCTTAGGGTTTTCAAGATTTCTTACTCTTTTGCGGGGCGACGAGGGTGTAAGCATCAGCGTATCTCCAATTCTCCTCCACACAATCCCGATGCTTCCATTTCCCATTTGCAAAACGAAAAGCATCAGTAAGGTCAGGGGAAAAGTTTTGCGGCTCACTGGAGGGGGCTTGCCCCAAGTGAGAATCTTTCCGACCACATCCTATTGGGTCGGGCTTGGCCTTATAGCTAAACTGCGCTCTCGCCCAGGGGATTCTTAGGCCAGAAAGCCCAGAAGAGGGAACCCCATCAAAATACACGGTGTTTTTTGGTTCGGTCAGGACGTTCGTGAAGCAGGGCAAGCCAGAATCGTCTCCTTGTGCCTGGGTGTCTTTGCGCATTGTCAAGCCCAATGAGTCCAAGTCTTGCTCAGGCGCCTGCTATCCACGGCGCTCGGGACTTACTTCCCCCACACTTGAAGAGCCGAGGGTGGCTCCAACAACTCCAGCATACAAGCTTCAGGCTTCGGTACTTGTAGGGTTCTGCATGGGAGAAACGATGCCGACACGAGCTGCGACAATGGCCACCATGAGTGTGCACCAACCCTAAACCCGACCCTGAACCCGAAACTTGCCTCATGTAGTGTGGGCTGGTCTGCTTGGCGGGGCAAGAAATAGAACTCGGTGGCCTCAGGTACTTCTGTGCTGTGCTGGAGTCGGGCAGTGCATGCGGGGAGAGGATAAAGGAAGTTGCGTCACACAGTCGCAATGAACAAGAACTGAATCACAGTATGCCCCCCCCTATTAGGTCTCCACTGAAGGTGCTTGGGTTGTGATACTGTGGAGATCCGAATGATTGACAGCTCCCGCATCCTTGCCTGCTGCGTGCGAGTGCGAGAGTCGGAACCCTAAATCTAGGATGTTCCCCCTTATTCTAATGAAAATTTACTTTAATCCCGATTAAGGACTGCTAGTCGAAGAGGCAGCATCCCAACCCTAATCCCTGTTTTATCAAGT